AGCCATCAAAATCACCAGACACGGGGCTGGAAAGATGGCTCAGTGGTAGAGTGCTTGCCTTGCATATATGAGGACCTGCGTTTGATTCCATAGCACCATATAAGCAGAAAAAGCTGGAAGTGGTGCTGTGGCTCAAATGATAGAGTACGTTCCTTGAGCTGAAGAGCTCAGGGACAGAATGCAAGCCCCAAGATCAACAAAATTTAAAAAAAAAAAAAAAAGCCATCAAAATCTATACCCAAGGGCTTAATGGGTTAGAGTGATATTAGAAATCATCTTTCACTGGTGAAGTCAGTAGTTTTCATAATATGGAGTTGGCTCAGGAAGATTACCTGAGCCCTGCTATCCTTGCATGAATGAGGGTTAAGATCCAGACCAGGCCAACAGCCCACCCTTCACAAAGTAGGTTAGGTGGCTTATTGTGCTTGCTTGCCAATATAGATATATTTGGCACAATTTGGCCTTAGCCATTTTCAATATCCCACCTGAAGGAGGTTAGAAAAATAACAAATTCTCTTTCCTGTCCTGTAGCTGCTAATAAAAGAACCCACTAGACTACTGTTCTACCATGGTTAATTAGAGATAAGAATCTCAGGAGCTTTCCTGCCCTGGCTGGCTTCAAACCCCAGTCCTCAGATCTCAGCCTCCTGAGTAGCTAGGACAACAAGTGTGAGCCAATGGCTTCTCCACAGATTCTTTGAGGGTTCTGGTGGGGCCTTTCCAGCAAACTTCTGAGGATCTCAGCTTTCACCCATCAATACTTGCTTTCCTCCCTCTCCTACCACAGTAAGAGACTGAGAGAGTATCCAACATGGTGTTTTTCTTTATTTCATATTAACATAATCCTCTTGGCCTGTAGTGATTCCCTCATGATCCTGCATGTTTCTCCAACTTCGAACTATTATTCTGTCCTCAAGGGTAGCTGTGCTACCCTTCCATTTTATAATAGGATAAACTGAGGCAGGGGGCAGCATGAAGCTCTTCTAAACTGATAGGCAGGGGCATCTTGCAGAGTACTTGGAACAACTTCAAAGTCAGTTACCATCGGGGCTGGGAAGATGGCTCAGTGGTAGAGTGCTTGCCTTGCATGCCTGAGACCCTGGGTTCAATTCCTCAGCACCACATAAGCAAAAAGAAAAAAGCCGGAAGTGGCACTGTGGCTCAAGTGGTAGAGCGCTAGCCTTGAGCTGAAGAGCTGAGGGACAGCACCCAGGCCCAGAGTTCAGGCCCTACGACCAGACCGAAAAACAAAAAAAAACAGTCAGTTACCATGGATGGGTGGATAGATGAAGGAGAATCTGAGGAGTGAGCAACAATGTCACCTGATGTTCTTGTCTGAATCTGGCCGGTGACCAAAGTTGGATCCTTAGTCTCAGATCAATTGAAACCTTATGCCTTAAGACCTAAAGATTGGCAGGTGTAGTGACTCCCACACCTGTAATCTTCCTCTCCCTTCCCTCAGAAGGTAGAGAACTAAAGGGCCAAAGTTTGAAACAGGCAAAATTTTTGTGGGACCCTCCATCAACCAATAGCTATGGGGTGCCTGTCATTCTAGCTACATAGGAAGCATAAATAGGCTAGTACCTGACTAACAAAATGAAACAAAAAACCCATCTCAAAAATAACCAAGCAAAATGGGTTGGGAATATGGCTCAAGCAGTAGAGTGGTTGCTTAGCAATCATGAAGCGCTGAGTTCAAACTCCAATAGCATTAAAAAAAAAAAAAAAAAAAAGGGAAAATTGTGGAAAGAAGACAATGTCTGAAGCCAGGTGCTAGTGGCTCACACCTGTAATCCTACTCAGGAGACTGAGATCTGAGGATCTCAATTCAAAGCCAGCCCAGGTAAGAAAGGCCGTGAGACTCTTATCTCCAATAAACCACTCACAAAACTGGAAGTGGCGCTTGGCTCAAGCAGTAGAGCACTGGCTTTGAGCTGAAGAGCTCAGGGACAGCGTCCACGCCCACAGAGTTATTGCTGGGATGGGTTGGGGTGGGGGCTCGTGGTAATGCGTGACCCAGGATATAGGCCTCCGTAATGCCAGAAAACTGCTTCTGTTTGTTGGGACCAATGGAACATGTGGAACATCAGAAACCCAATCAGAGGACCCTTGGAAAGGAAGCAGCAGGACCATTCCATTTGATGCCATTAGAGGGTGACTGGAATCAGATAAAGGAGGCAGTCTCCGCAAACATGGCTGGTGGGACAACCCCTATGTTAGATTACAAACTATTCTGCCCTGAAGTAGTCCTGACTTTGAGAATCACCCTTCCCTGGAACCCTGATGAGCCCATTCTTCTCTAGCCATTCATTCACTGGTGGAAACTGGGGAAGTTTGAGTACGACTCCTGTAATACTAGATGTTAAACTTCCTAACTGTGGTAATATACAAGGATCCTCCTTGTTCCTGGGAAGCATGTGATGAAATATTCAGCATGATGTGAACAATTAATTTTAAAGTAGCCCAGGAAATATACATGTATATGAGCACACGTGGGAGGAAGTAGAAATGTGGGAAAATGTTAAATGTGCTTAATAGGTCATTTTTTCAACTTTTGTAAATTTCAAAGTGAAAAAGTTGAAAGGAGAAAAATAGGTACCACTTATTAAGCAGTTATTGGATCCTAAAATTTATGTAACTATGATCTGATTAATCTTCAGTCGCAGAGATGACTGTGATTCTCACATTAAAGACAGGGAATCAGCTGGTGTGGTGGAGCACATGTGTAATCTCAGCACTCAGGCCAGAAAATCTGGAGTTCCAGGCCAGCCTGGGCTTAGCAAGATCAAAGCCAGCTGGGGAAACACAGAGAAGCCCTGTCTCAAACAGTGGAGGGAAGAGAAGGGAAAAGGAAGGGAGGGAAGAGATCACAGGAACTCAGTCCTAGAGTAAGAAGTCCTAGGGTAAGAAAACTTGCCCAAGTTACAGAACTGGAACCAAGGTCTCCTGGAGAGGCACTATTGAGACACACCAACAGTCCAAGACAGGGGCTTTCTGCATACTTTATGTTTTAAAATCCTCTCACACATTCATTTATTTGGCTTTCCCTTTTAAAAGGTTTGTTCTTTGTGCTCAATCACTTCCTTGGGCTAGATTGCAAGCAAAGGGTATTAGAACACATGATACAAGTGTAGGTTGGTGAGGGCTAAGTGGTAGCTTCTATAGGAATTGAAAATTTGCATTGATTTTGAGCTAGCAATGAAGGCAGTGACACATATGGACCAAGAAGTATGTAGAAAGGTAGTCATCATATCAAGATATAGAAGAGGCTAAGTCTAGAAACATCTTAAATATTATTTCAAACATTTTAAAAAGCAAGTGCAGTAATATGTCATTAGATACAGAGTTAACGAATGCTAATGTTTAGAAAAAAAGCTGGGGCCGATTACTTAAGGGTACAAGGGTAGATGTAAATACACAAACATGAACACACACACATATACTTATGTATATATAAGATAACTTGAAAGAATACACACAAAAACTGGAAGAGGGTTGGGAATGTAGCTTAATGGAAGGGTGCTTGCCTAGCATGCATGAAGCCCTGGGGTCAATTCTTCAGTACCTTATACACAGAAAGGGCTGGTGCGGTGGCTCAAGTGGTAGAGCGCTAGCCTTGAGCACAATGAGGCTCAGGGACAGCGCCCAGGCCCTGAGTTCAAGCCCCATGACTGACCAAAACAAACAAACAAAACCTTGGAAGAGGGACAAAACTGGAAAGAGACTTCTTTTTCACTATTATGTGAAGTTTATACTGTGATCATGGTTACTTGACATTCAAAGTGAATGAATGAACCTCTCCCCTTAAAAGAATCTGGAGGATTTACCTTTGGGCTTCCAGAGGTTGCTTTTCAACGGTTCAAGAGGACAGATGGGTGGCTGAGGGCAGTGTCCCAAAGAATGGGGAGCCATCAAGCCATTCCCAAGTTCAGTCTTTGGATGTGGCCCAGTCTGAGAGCTTTCCTCAGAGCTGTGGGTTCTCAATTTTGTGCATGAGGATGGCCTGGGGAGCTTGTTCTCAGGTAATTTCCAAGCCCCGCCCCCAGAAATTCGGAGTCAAACCTGGGGTGGGTCCAGGGACTTTTCTCTAGTGCCTGGAGTTAATCTTTCAACTCCCACAGAGAAAGTGGCCTTGTGTTTGCCTCTGTACAGGTCCTGACTGTTAGTTAAGCCTACAGAACTGAGGCAAAGAGCTGCTTTTCCTTTTCTGAATTTGTGTGTGCTGGGTACGTGTGTGTGCACGCATCCCGCAGATGCATGAGTCCTGGGGCTGGAACTCAGGGCCTGGACGCTGTCCCTGAGCTTTTCTGCTCAAAGCTAGCACAGCACCACTTCCGGCTTGCTGGGGATAAGAGTCTCAAGGACTCTACTGCCCGGGCTGGCTTTGAACCGCGATCCTCAGATTTCAGCCTCCCGAGTAGCTAGGATTCCAGGCTCACTTTCTGCGTGTGGGTTTTTTCCCTTTTCGTTTCTCCTCGGAGCTCCCCACGCCGGGCCAGAGCTTGGCTGCAAAGGTCCGGGCGTTACATTCCTACAGGTGGCCAAAGGCGGAACCATCTTCAGGGGGAGGGACTGGGGGGAGAATCCCCCACCGCTTCCCGCGGCAGCAAGGGGGGCGGCTGAGCCCGGGGAACGCCTCCACCACCATCCCCCCCGGCCCCCCGCCCGCCCGATCCCCCGCAGCCGTCCGGCCGGCTGGGGCCGGAGCCCCGCGGTGCGCAGATGAGGGCGGCCGGGGCCCGCTGAGGTCATTTCCTGCGCCTGGCGGTGCGCTGCCCGCGGAGCGGCGCCCGGGGCTCGGCCTTTAAGGAGCGGGCGGGAGCGGCGGGGCGGGGAGGCGGGCGGAGCGCGGCGGGGAGGCGGGCGCCGCCGGCGGGGCTGCGCTTTGTGCCCGCAGCGCGCGCCCCCCACCCCGCCCCCGCTCCGGGGCTGCAGCTGCTCCCGCCCCGCCCACCGCGACCCCGGCGGCCGGGGAGCCGAGACCCAGCGGCCGCCCGGGACGGCGGCGAAGGCGGCGCGCGCGGGGCGCCCTGGGGACCCCCGAAGCTCGCGGAAGGTGAGCAGCTGGGGGACGCGAGAGAGGGCGTTCGGCAGGGTGACCCGGAGACCGAGTCTCCGCCCCGCACCTCCAACAGGTGCCGACCCATCTGGAAGTGGGCGATCGCGGGCGAGCCGCGGGGCGGGCTTGGGGAGCCGGGGGCCCCGGGCGCCCCGCACCGACCGCGAGCCGCGCCTGCCTTCCCGGGGAGGACCTGCCCTTGGGGACCGGCTCGATCCAGTCGGGAAGAGCCCCGGGGACGGACGGGACGGACGTGCCGGCGGCCACCTCGTCCCGGCTGCCTCTGCCCTCCCCCCTCCCCACTTTATCCTAGCTTGTGTCTACGGAGTTTTCTGGATGTTTCTCTCAGGAGCCCTTGTGGGTCAGGCGAGCAGAAAAAGAAACAGATCGGGAGCCCAGTGACCACCTAGGAGCCCTGGAGAGGACTCGGTCCCCAAGGGCCCGGGACCGCTCCCTGGGCCCCTGGGGTGGTGGTGGGGGGCAGGCTGTGGTGGTAGAGGCTGTGAAGACCCGGCCCCGCCTCGAGGAGCTAAGGCCCCCCTTCCCCCCTCTTCGTCAGGTTGTCTTCCTAAGCTTTTACTGTTAGTCTCTGTAGTAACCCCCCCAACCCCCCCCCCCCCCCCCCCCAGTGTCTGGATTCTTTTTTCGGTGGAAGATTGGTCATGTACCCGACTGCTAACATCACTTTACACTGCATTCACTGGCTAGTGTGCCGGGCCACATTCCTATTATTCGTATGATCTCCACCTTACGAAGGAGGAACGTAGGACTGAAGAGTTGTGACTTGCCCAAGGTCATGGAGGCAGAGTGGAAGAGGCTAGTCTCCCAAGTAAACCTTCGGAATTCCTAATGGGTTCTGTCCACCTTCCATCGGCCCAGAGAGGACCTACTGGGCCCGGATTAGAAGGAAGCGCACCTTATGTATGAGCCCCAGCTTGTTAAAACTGACAGTTGAGCTGAAAAAGAAAAAAACAAAACAAAACCGGGGTGCCCCTTCTACCCTCTTCAGACGTCACCAAATATGGAAAGGAAGCGGGTCCCTCCCATTTCCCTCACCCTCCGTGCAATCCTCTTTCTATTCTTCTTATCTTTACCAGGCTGTTTATCCGCGTGCTGTACTCTGTGGTCCTTAGTGATTGGACAATGCTTTATTCACTGTGATGTTAAGCTGCCAGGATTCCTTTGCCCGAGTCTTGGGCAACTTCACGGCAGGCTGGTGTTCCTTCACCCTCTTGCAGGCCCGTGGGCTGTCATGTCTTCTATCAAAAGCTAGGTCAAAAGTGACCTCTGAGGTGGAGAAGTAGGCTCTCTGGGCAGGTTGAAGTGGGAATTAGGATAGCCTCAGGGGAGGTTACTTAAAAAAAAAATCTGTCTCACTTAACCCTACAATTCCATTTCAGGGCTATCCTTCAGGTATACTCTTATGTATATGAAGTATGTATTTTCATTAAATATTCATTGCGGCATTGTTCGTCTTAGCAAAAGGATGGAAATGGAAACGACTCAATTATTACCAATATACTGGATCCTTGAGTCAGATCGCGTAATAGCCACATAATAAAATAGAGTTCTTAAAAACCTTGGAGCGGGCTGGGGGAAGTGGCTCAGTGGTAGAGTGCTTGCCTCACATGCAGGAGGCCCTGAGTTCTATTCCTTAGCACCACATAAACAGAAAAAGCCAGAAGTGGCTCTGTGGCTCAAGTGGTGGAGCACTGGCCTTGAGCTGAAGAGCTGAGGGACAGCACCCAGGCCCAGAGTTCAGGCCCCACGACCGACAAAAAACAAAACAAAACCTTGGAGGGAAAGTGTGGCAAAGATAGGTATTTACTAGGAAGATCTTTAAGCCCTATTTTTGTAGTGTCAGTTTGTGTAGTGTCTCATTGTGTGTGTGTGTGTGTGTCTGTCTGTGTATGTGTGATGTGTTTGAATGTTTACATTCCATCTCTCAGAAAAGACACAACCCCCACCCCAGGAGAGCTATGGCTTTAGTACGAGATAGGAAGGAGTTTTGAACCTTATATCCTTTCATTCAATAGTCAAAAGTAAATATATGTTATTTTTAACATTTGCTTCTCTCTAAGGTGGAGTTCATGGTGAGCACACATCTGTGAGTCATAGGTCTGGGGTACTACTATGATTATTTGTTGATGTAATAGTAGTGGTCACATTCCCTGCTTACTAGGGACCAGGGTTTTGTAATATCTCTAATGTTCAAGGAAATATGTATGGTGTGATCTGTGAACTAACTTCCTTATCTTTTTTCTCTCTCTTGTTTCTTTCTTTTTTCCCCTTTTTAAGTTAATTTACTTATCTTGAGAGGTCTTGTTGTGCAGCAGGGCTGAGCTCAAGTTTACTTTGTGTTCCAGGCTTAAAGTCTTGATCCTACCTTAGCCTCCCCAATGCTGAGATTACAGTGTATACTACCACACACTGTTCTCTCCTTACTCCCATCTTCCTTCTCTTCTCTTCCCTTCCTTTTCTCTTTCTCTCTCTTCTCTTTCTTCCCCTTCCCCCCAACTTATCTTCCTACCTACCTTCCTTCCTTCCTTCTTTCTTTCCTTCCTTCCTTCCTTTTTCTTTTTTCTTTTACTGTGCTGGGCTTGAACCTGATGCATGTGTGCTATACAAGCACTGAGCTTATATTATTAGCTCTGAAAGTGCCATTTTTGAAAGTAAAACAAAACAACAAAAACAGTTAATTGTCATATGGATTAACCTGATATTATTGCCTTCATCTTTCAAGTATTATTTATCTTAATTTCAAGATGCAACAGAGGACCAGACAAGTTAAACAAATCATTTTAGGGCATAAGGTTATTTTTATATAGTGCCTTAGCCAGGGTTCAAGCCCAAGATGTTTGGTGCCAGATCTTAATTGTTAACGCTGTTATTCTTTCTTGTTTTCATTGTTCAGGTGTGCTATACCTTGCTGTCCTGGCCCCTTCTTTTGGTATTTGGGTCCTCCCAAGGCCTGAACCATGCCCACTTTTTCTTAGCTCTGATGCTCACACTGAGTAGAGGTGAAGTCCATGTCATCGGCTTGATCAGATGATGGTGCTGAGATTGAAGGGAGATGAGTTGTACCCCTATGTGTGCGTGTACCCTCCTCCCAGCTCCAGCTCCAGCTCCAGAAGGAATGCCCAGAGCTGTTTCTTTCCAACAATTGGCCAGATGGTCAGTCTCCTTTTAGAAGAGCCAGCATTAAGATGAGGTCGCAGCCGGGCAGCGATGGCATATGTCTATAATCCTAGCTACTCAGGAGGCTGAGATTTGAGGGTCATGGTTCCAAGCCAGTCTGGGCAGAAAGTCCATGAGACTGTCTCTTTTTTTTTTTTTTTTTCTGTTGGTCGTGGGGCTTGAACTCTGGGCCTGGGTGCTGGTCCTGAGCTCTTCAGCTCAAGGCTAGTGCTTTACCACTTTGAGCCACAGCACCACTTCCGGTTTTCTGGTGGTTAATTGGAGATAAGAGTCTCAGAGACTTTCCTGCCTGGGCTGGCTTTGAACCATGATCCTCAAATCTCAGCCTCTGAGTACTTAAGATTATAGGCCTGAGCCATTCCTCAGCTATCCATGAGATTATTTCCTCCAATTAACCACCCAAAAGCTAGGAGTGGAGCTGTGTCTAAAGTGGTAGCGCACTAGCTTTGAGGAAAAAAAAGAAAAACTCAGGGACAACACTCAAGTCCCAGGTCAAGTCCTAGGCCTGGTGCATGCTGGGCCCACGCGCACGTGCACACAAACACACACACACAAAGCAGACGAAGCGATGGTCCATCCTTAGCAAGTGGGAGTTACAAACATTCTCATCACATGGATATAACGGTGCCAGAGAATCAGATAGTAAGAGACCCCATAACTTTGTTTCCTCCCCTGTGTTGGGGATCATACCTGGGGCTTTGTGTGCATAAGTAAGGGCTCCACCACTGGGCCACATCCCCAGCCTGCCCCATCTATTTTTCCCATTAATGATGTATTTGTGTTAGGCAGGCCTGGTAGACTGAGAGATCTACCACTACAACTGAAGCCTCCAGGGAAACAGGATTCTCCTAGATGTTAGGAGGTCAAGGTTCTTGATTTAGCCCTGCTATACTTCAGCTCTCTCTCGCTCGCTTGCTCTCTCTCTCTCTCTCTCTCACACACACACACACACACACACACACACACACACACACACACACACACACACACACACACACACACGATGAGTTATCTCATCTGATTATTGCAAATAACTGCCCTGTCTTCTGTCTAGAGGATAATGACACTTGTTGCCTTGCTTTGGAACGTTAAGAGTCAGGCATTCATTTGTGCTCATCCTTGCACATCTTGGTTTGGGGAGGAACAAGTGCAAGATCACTTAAGTAATGAGGTTCAGTTTACTAGTACCTTCCTTTAACATTCATGTTGCTCCAAACACCTGCTTCTGCCGGAATGGCCTCGGGGCCTGAGGTTTGGCAGTATGCACCTTGCTCTAGATCTTCTTCCAAACCTCTTAGCTCCCCTTACAAGCTGAGGCAAGCCTAGCACCAGTCTCAGCCTCCTGAGGAGCTTGCCAACATGCCTGAAGCAGAGGCAGGGATAGGATTAGCCCGCCCACTGGTTAGTCCAGAACCATGATATCACTTCCTTACACCTGAAGTCTAGGTGTAAGCTCAAATACCAAATAACATTTCTGATATCAGAAATAAAAATAAAGCCGGGCGTTGGTAGCTCACGCCTGTAATCCTAGCTACTCAGGAGGCTGAGATCTGAGGATCGCGGTTCAAAGCCAGCCCGTGCAGGAAAGACTGAGAGACTCCTATCTCCAATAAACTACCAGAAAACCGGAAGTGGCGCTGTAGCTCAAGTGGTAGAGCGCTCGCCTTGAGCTGAAGAGCTGAGGGACAGCGCCCAGGCCCAGAGTTCAAGCCCCACGACCGATCAAAAAAAAAAAAAATGTTTTATTTCCAAAATCCCTGGAAGTTTTAATAATTTGAGGTTTTGCTCTGTCCGGGGGAATCTCAATCAGTAAGAGGGAAAGAAAAACGAAATTAATGAAACTCAAATGTGTTTCTTTTCCCCAGCCTTTGGTTTTACTTTGGGTGCTTTTATTGGTTAATTCTTAGCTTGAGTTGGGTTTCAAATCCCAGTCTCTGGTGTGCTACTTTTTCTATTGATGGGAGGATGGGAGGAAAAGCAGAAGTTTGCCCAGAAGACAAAGAAAGTCAAACGTGAAGCCTCCCAGCTTCTGTGGAAGCCCTACAAGGTTCTGTTTTGTCTTCTCAGCTGTGATCTTAGCTCAGAGAAGGTCATGTTTTGTTTTAGTCTTTGTCTTCCTTCCCGTTCCAGTTGGTCCCAGTCTTTTTGAGGTAGGGATGGCTGAGAGGTCACAATGCTTGCATTGTTCAGGATGATGGTTCTGGACTGAGATCATGTACCCAGTTTTCTGAGGAGCTCAGAGTTGAAAGAATCAGACACTAGACCCATCAGTAGTTTAATTGTTGGGCCAGGTCTACTGACTATTTTTAAAGGAAGACAAAAAACAGGACACATATTAAGTGTCTGTGCTTATTGTTTGTAGTGACAGAATATTTGAGCCCTGGATGCCTTAGAAAATGTGAGATATAGATTTACTTTAATGTTAAAGTTTCTTTTTTTTGTTTTTTGTTTTTGTTTTTGGGTCCGGTCGTGGGGCCTGAACTCTGGGCCTGGGCACTGTCCCTCAGCTCTTCAGCTCAAGGCTAGCGCTCTACCACTTGAGCCACAGCACCACTTCCGGCTTTTTTCTTTTTGCTTATGTGGTGCTGAGGAATCGAACCCAGGGCCTCAGGCATGCAAGGCAAGCGCTCTACCACTGAGCCAACTTCCCAGCCCCAATGTTAAAGTTTCTTAAATTTTTTTTTTTCATTTGTGGGGCCTGGGCACTGTCCCTGAGCTCTTTAGCTCAAAGCAAGCACTCTACCACTTGAGCCACAGCACCACTTCCGGGTTTCTGGTGCTTAATTGGAGATGAGTCTCATGGAGGGCTGGGAAGGTAGCTAAGAGGTAGAATGCTTGCCTCACATACATGAGGCCCTGGGTTCGATTCCTCAGCACCACATAAACAGAAAAGGCCAGAAGTGGCACTGTGGCTTAAGTGGTAGAGTGCTAGCCTTGAGCTGAAGAGCTCAGGGACAGCACCCAGGCCCAGAGTTCAGGCCCCACGACCGACCCAAAAAAAAAAAAGTCTCATGGACTTTCCTGCCCAGGCTGGCTTTGAACTGGCTTTGAACTGCAATCCTCAGATCTCAGCCTCCTGAGTAGCTAGGAGTAGCTAGTGCAGGCGTGAGCCACCAACGCCTGGCTTAAAATTTTTATATATATTTTTTCTCATTCTTAATAATTTACCTCATTCTTTGTGGAATTTGAATGCTTCCCTTTTTGTCTATAAAATTTTCAGTGCTAAGTGTATCTCATATGTATCCTCTAACCCAACAGTTTGACAAATCTTAGTTGATACGTATTTTCCCTTTTTTTACCATAGAATAAGCAGATCTCAGACAGTTTATCATTTTGCCTATACATCATATGTATCTCTAGCAAAGGACATTAAAATTCCTTGAGAACTCAAAGGTGGGACCTCTCTACATTTGCATCTCTAGTGTTTACACAGTGGTATATAAATTGTTGTTGAGTGGATAATTGAATGGAAAACAAGTCCTACTTTTTTTTTTTTTGGTTCCAGTACTGGGGCTTGAACTCAGGGCTCTTGCATAGCTTTTTGCTCCAAGCTAATGTTGTACCACTTGAGGCACAACTCTACTTCCAGCCTTTAGGTGGTTAATTGGAAATAATAGGCTCATGGACCTTCTTTCCAGAGCTAGCTTTGAACCTTGATTCTCAGATCTCAGTCTCCTGAGTGGCTAGAATTATAGGCACGAGCCCTTCTCCAGTCTGCAAAGGAGACCAACTTCCTGAGCTTATTCAGCTACTTACTGTAGGAACGGAACACACTGGGCTGAGAAAGATGGAAGACCACCTGGAGAGAACAGTGACTTCCTCCTTTCCCCAACTGCTTTCTAGGTCCTTCTTTGGTCTCCTCCTCTTCCTGTTTTCCCCAAATAATTGCTCCACACACACTGATTTATCTTTTCCTCCCTCTGTGTGCTGATTCTTAGAGTTTAGAGCAATATCCAGAAGTTGATTCCATCATGGCGGAAGTCCAGGTAGAGACCCGGGCCAGTGTAGACTGGCAGAAACGCTGCCTGACCCTGGAAACACAGCTCTTCCGGTTCCGTCTGCAGGCCAGCAAGATTAGGGAGCTGCTGGCTGACAAGGTGAGTAGCAAGGATCATTGCAGGAGTTAGCAGCAGGCTGCAGTCAGGGAGGCAGAGCTGGGGAAAGTAAACTTTCAATGAGATAATTTTCCGTGGTTTCATGTGGCATGAAACACAAGGTAGATTCTTGGTTTAAGGATTAAATTCTGAACAACTTACTAAGCTTTAATTTGGCATTTCTGTCTGTTCTGCTTTTCATATGCCAAATCAAAGAATGGTATCAATCTTGGCCCTATGTTACCTTTTTAGGGCTGAACTCTATACCCCCAGCCCTCCTCTTTTGTTTTTGTTTTCTTTTTTTCTTTTTTAATGTGTCTGCCATTTGGGGGGCTTAAACACAGGGCCTAGGTTCTACCACTTGAGCCATAGCTCCATTTCTTGCTTTTTAGTGGTTAATTGGAGCTAAGAGTCTCATAGCCTTCCTTGCCTAGTTTGGCTTCAAACCATGATCCTCAGATCTCAGCCTTCTGAGTAGTTTAGGGTTACAAATGTTAGACACCAGCACCTGTCTTGCTTGTTTTGCCTTTGAGATAAAGTATATTTGTGTGTGTGTGTGTGTGTGTGTGTGCGCGTGCGCGCGCGCACGCACATATGTATATATGTTTACTTTGAGTAACTCAACCTTTTATTTTAATTTGTTTTAAAACATTAAGTAGTTGTACAAAGGAGTTGCCATTGAACAAAGCAACGTATGAATATATTGAATCTTGATCAGTGTTACCCCTTTCATCATTTCCACCCATCTATCCCAATCCCACCCCTTCTCCCAATTTTCTTTTTTTGCCAGTTGTGGGGCTTGAACTCGGGGCCTGGGTGCTGCCCCTGAGCCTCTCTGTACTCCAGGCTAGCACTCTACCGCTTGAATCACAGTGTCACTTCCAGCTCTTGAGTGGTTAGTTGGAGATAAGAGTCTCATGGGGACTTTTCTGCCTGGGCTGGTTTCAAGCCACGATCCTCAGATCTCAGCCTCCTGAGTAGCTAGGATTATAGGCGCCTGGCTCAATATTCTTAATTTTGTAGGATATACATTGAATTTTATGAGGGTATTCTCACCCCCAGGTCGCTCTCATTTTGATTATATTATTATTTTTCCCAGTTAATTTTTCTCTCACAGTACAAAGGTAAAGCTCAGCTCCTTTCCAATTCATGTGTTCATTAAGAAAGTCTGTTTTATTGACAGTTGTACAACCTCAAAATCAGGAAGGCAAGTCAGTGGCCGTTTCAATAATTGGGGCAAGGCTGTGGACTAGCCTAAACTAGGAACTCTTGACCCCTGAGTCAGTTGGCATTGTTCTCTTAGTGTGTTGGACAGTGCAGGGTTCCTGTGGATATGTGACAATGGAAGAATTCATCCACCTTAGAAGAAGGGCTGCAGTTGTCAAAGTGTGTTCAGAATCACATGACATGCTGCTTGTTCAAGTGTGTATATGTTCCCGAGCTACTCCAGTCCTCTTGATCCAAATCTTCAGGGTGCTGCAAATAACTGGGTGCCACTAAGCACAACAAGCTCCCAGAGAATGATTTTGTACACTATAAAGTTTGAGCTTAATACCGTAAGTTATGATATTGGGGGAGACACGGTGAAGGAAGAAAAGGGAAGGAAGGAAGGAATCCATTTGGGCTAGGTGGTCTGAAACATGAAGGGACAGACTTCTGTACAAAACCGGAATTAGTTATTTAAAATATCCTTCTAGCCGGGCGCTGGTGGCTCACGCCTGTAATCCTAGCTACTCAGGAGGCTGAGATCTGAGGCTCAAGGTTCAAAGCCAGCCCGGGCAGGAGAGACAGTGAGACTCCTATCTCCAATAAAAAAAAAAAAAAACACCAGAAAACTGGAAGTGGCACTGTGGCTCAAGTGGTAGAGCACTCGCCTTGAGCTGAAGAGCTGAGGGACAGAGCCCAGGCCCAGCGTTCAAGCCCCATGACCGACAAAAAAAAAAAAAAAAAGAAAATATCCTTCTAAGTGAAGAGATGAGTGTTGAAAAAAAAAGCCAGAGGATTTCTCAGGGCAAATTGAAGAGGGAAAAATGAGACTAATCCGAGGGAGGAAGGGCTGTGCCCCGCCTTCTTTTAATACAAGGAATAAAGTTGGAGCTTTTACAGTTGTGAAGTCAGATATAACATTTGGCTAAATGGCGATCTGAGTTGAAACTCTATCTTCTGTATGAAGGCAGGACTACTAAAGGGCCCAGCCTAAATAAAAGGTATATAAGGGCGTGATGTCACACCGCTTGTAGTTCCCAGCTACTGTTGTAGGAAAGAATCCAAAATAACGGCTTTGCCAGGTAGATGTTTCTTTCTTTCTATTATAACTGCTCCTGTCTTATCAGTCCGGCTCCAGGATGATGTTCTCGGTATCTGAAGATGGTTCACCTTGATACCCACATTACCATTTCCCCCTTGAAATCCATACCCACACGCACCATATATTCCTTCGGTTGTGTTCTCACTGACCCAATCTCAGTCACATGTTATACTTAGCTTCAAAGGAGGTTGGGAAGTGTCATCTTTATTTTAAATAGTTACGTGCTGCACTATGGGTGATCTGCTTATGAGCAAGAAGATGAGAATACGTCATGGGGAACAGCCAGCTGTTATAAGTCTAAAGAAATGAGAATTAAAGTTGTTTTTTTTTTAAGTATTTAGTGAAGTGGTCTTAAAAACAACCTTTAACAAGAAAACGTCAAAAAATACTTCCAGTACATTTAAGTTTATGTAACTTCTTTTCAGTGTGTGGGCTGGAGCCTAGGGCTTTGCATGTGCTAGCAAATTCTCTCCCACTGAAGTATAACCCCCAGCCTGTGTGTAGTTTTGTTTGTTTGTTTGTTTAAACCCTGCAAAAACAGCATTTCCTGTTGTTTAGAAGAGTCAGTTATTTCTTACTCCAGTTCCACAGTTGTGTGTTTTGCCATTTGAAAATGAGTATGTGATTTCAAGTGAGCCGAAGGTCTGCTAGAGCAAATATTAAAACCCTTGACTTTTAAGGGGCTGGATATGTTCAACTGGTAGAGCAAACCTGCCAGCAAACGTAAGACCCTGAGCTCAGACTTCAGTACCGCCACTGAAAGAAGAAAAGAAAGCCATTGTCTTTGATTTCAACAGAGTTAGAACCATTTAGAATCCAGCACACTCAAAATGCTCATAGGAAATAGGCAAGTGAGCTTCTTGAGAGGAAAACTGGAGAGGACATACTGAAGCCACTTACTGGAAGGAGAAAATGTAACCCTAGTGTGATCAGGTAAATAGATTCTTCCAGAGAGTAATGTTTATGGAGTAGATTTTTATGTGACATGTGAAATTTGGGCGTGATAGACAATATAGCTTGTGTCTAAATAGCATGGAGTCTGGAACTCTTTGATCTGAGTTTGAATCCTAGTTCTGAATCTTTTTTGGGGGGGGAGGGGGAGGGCAAGTACCAGTGTTTGATTTCAAGGGCCTCGTGCTTTCTTGGTTTGCTTGCTTTGCTGGGTTCTCTTTAATACTTGAGCCACATCTCTAGCCTGGCCTTTTCTGGTTCATATTTTATAGATGGAGTCTTGTAGACTTTTTTTCCCGTGCTGGCTTTCAACTTTGATCTGTTGGATCTCAACTCTTAGTAGCTAAGATTTCAGGTGTGAGTCATAAGCATCCATCTCTGGCTCTGAATCTTACTAGCTGTATGACCTTGAGCAGGTTACCTTTCCTGTCTGCTTCAGTTTCTCTCTTGCTCTTTTTTTTTTAATTGTTGTTATCAAGATGATACACAGAGAAGTTACAGTTATGTAAGTCAAGTAAAGTTAAATTTCCTTCTTTTTGTTTTGTCAGTTATAAGGCTTGAACTCAGGGCCTAGGCCTGGGCACTGTCCCTGAGCTCTTTTGCTCAAGGCTTTACCACTTTGAGCCAGAGTGCCACTTCTGGTTTTCTGGTGGTTAATTGGAGATAAGAGTCTCACAGACTTTCATGCCCAGGCTGGCTTTGAACCATAATCCTCAGATCTCAGCCTCCTGAGTAGCTAGGATTACAGGCATGAGCCACCAGAGCCTAGCCTGCTTCAGTTTCTTGATCTCTGTAATAGCGATAATAATGCCCTTTGTTAGGAAATTTTCAGTGAGTTAATGCTCCTTAAAAGCTGACATATAGCTATAAGTATAGGCTACCTGCTCCTTTTTTTTTTTGGTCCATCATGGGGCTTGAACTCTGGGCCTAGGTGCTGTCCCTCAGCTCTTCAGCTCAAGACCAGAGCTCTACCACTTGAGCCACAGCACCACTTTTGGTTTTCTGGTAGTTAATTGAAGATAAGAGTCTCATGGACTTTCCTGCCTGGGCTGGCTTTGAACTATGATCCTCAGATCTCAGCCTCCTGAGTAGCTAGGATTATAGGCATGAGCTGCCAGCACCTGGCTCTATGTAGGTCTTATAAGACAACCCTCTAGGCTCAAAGTTGACAGCGTCTGGCTTAAAGCCATTCTTTCTGTATATAGGTGAGTTCTAACCAGTAAACTGAAGAGAAGATGAAAAAAGTAATTTTGTTACTAATGATGCTGGGACAAGTGAATGTCATACTGTCCTGGTAAACTGCTCTCCTGAGTACAACTTTTGTATCAGGAAACACCAGCGAACAACTTCTATCTACATTGCTATTCTAGGTCATGTACATTACACTAGTGGGCATCTTGGGTAACCTTAACAACCCTAGGAGGTAAGGGCTGTTGTTTTCTCTAACAGAAGAGATTCTGGAATTTGTATGAAGTCACACTGTGGAGGAATTAGCCAGGCTTCAGAAGCTTGGCTCTTTCCTGTACCATTCTGTCCAATAGATGCCAGGCAGTGATAAGAATGTTGAGTCCTCTCTTTTTTTTTTTTTTTTGGTACTGAGTATGGAACACAGGCCTTGCACATTCTAGGCATGTGTTCTGCCACTAAACTACCTTACCAGCCCTTAGAGCTCTGAGACAGCTTCTTGCTTTGTAGCTCAAGCTAATATCAAACTCATGATTCTCTGCTTTGATTGCTGGGATTATAGGTGTGGATCCCCAGGCCTGGCTTGAATCCTCTTTCCAAAGGAACATTTGAGACCCAGGATGATGTAGTTCTTAGCTCTGGCTGCTGCGGGGCCCAGCAGAGTTGTACCAGGGTGCAGGAGACTGCCCTTTGCTCTTGTTGATATAGGGCTGATATTTCACAGCTTCACTGCCTGTAACAAGGAGCCATACACAAGGAGGTGGAATACCAGATCCATGCCAAGGGCCTTTCATCAGGTGGCTGCAGCCAGTTCTAGGACAACTTATGAGTCTCAACTTTCAACAGGGTGAAAGTAGATTGTCAGCTGCCTGAGCCCGAAATCCTTGGCTGGCATGTCGCTCCAGACCCATGCACTAACAGAACAGCTAAGGACATGGTCCTAGGGAACTTTCTGAGAGGAGGAACAGAACAAAAGTAAGGAATGGACTGCCTGTAGTCCCAGTTCTCAGAGCTCCATGAATGGCTCTTTAAGCAAGTATGGAGAAGAAAGGTCTACTCAAGTGAAAACAGTATCTGCTGGAATTAAAAGAACAAGTTGATCTGGGCATCAGAGGCTCAGGCCTATAATCCTAGTTACTCAGGAGGCTGAGATCTAAGAGTCTTGGTTTGAAACCAGCCCTGGCAGGAAAGTCCATGAGATTCTTATCTCCAATTATCCACCTGAAAACCAGAAGTGGAGCTGACGCTCAAAGTAATAGAGCATTAAACTTAAGCAGAAGTCTCAGGGACAGCCACCCAGGCCCTGAGTTCAAGCCCCACCACCGAAGGAAAAAACAATGCTGAGCACTCAAAAACTAGCATTTCAGCTTGGACACACTTGAAAATATTCTAGTGGTAGCTAGCCCCTCCCTTGTCTACTTGTCCTGTGTGGATCTGGCTTTTTCTCCAACTGTTCAACCATCTCTCTTTAGCCTAAAAATGTACAGTGTATTAAGCAGTTCTTTTTCTGTCCCAGTGTCTAAATTTCCTAGTTGAAATTTGCTTTCCTTGGGTAAAAGATAGAAGAGAAGGGGCCCCAAGGCTGCTGCTAGACAGTGAAAAGAATGTTACACAGAAGCTAGTTCATAATTTAGGGCGTCTTTTATCAGGGCGTCTTTTCCTTGTCCATTTTTTTTTCTTCTTTCTAGGATTGGAGAGACACATAGCTTCTCAGTACCCATTCCATTTGAGGGAGAGTGTGTGGGTTGGGGTGACTGGTCCTGTCTCCCGTTCTGGAAGATAAGATTGGGATATGCTTCAAGTATATGTATAGGGAAGACAGGTTTCCCAGGAATAAGATGAGTTAGGGGAGATCTGGGAATGTGGCTTAATGGTAGAGCGCTTGCCTAACATGCATGAAGCCCTGGGTTCAATTCCTTAGTACCACATAAACAGAAAAAGCCAGAAGTGGTACTGTGGCTCAAGTAGTAGAATGCTAGCCTTGAGCAGAAGAAGCTCATGAACAGTGCCCAGGCCCTAAGTTCAAGCCCCAGGACTGACGGGAAAAAAAAAAAAAAAAAGATGAGTTAGGTGAGGAAATATGTAGCATCACCTGAGAGCTGACTACGCGGATTTGCCCTGCCTATTCAGAGCCTTTAGCTTTAGTTACTGATGTGCAGTTTGGGTAAGGAATAATGGTGCCATGACAGGGGAAGATGGGAGCCGATCTCTAACCTATACTCCATGTAGCCTTAGGCTATAGCTTATATATGATCTTTTTTTTTTGGGTCTGTTCATGGGGCCTGAACTCTGGGCCTGGGCTCTGTGCCTCAGTTCTTCAGCTCAAGACTAGCACTCTACCACTTGAGCCACAGCGCCACTTCCGGCTTTTTATTTTGGTTATATGGTGCTGAGGAATCGAACCCAGGGCCTCATGCATGCGAGGCAAGCGCTCTACCACTGAGCCACCTTCCCAGCCCTATACTGTCTTTTGTGAGCCTCTGTCCCTTTGCTTCAGCCACTTGATGTAAGATTCCAGAATTACCTAGCTCCTTAGATCTAAGTGATATGCTGCCATATCACTTAGGTAGATTTGATTTTCTTTTTTCCAGTCATGGGGCTTGAACTTTGGGCCTAGGCGCTGATCCTTAGCTCTTCAACTCAAGGCTAGCATCCTGCCACTTGAGCCACAGTGCCACTTCCTGTTTTCTGGTGGTTAATTGGAGATAAGAGTCTCATGGACTTTCCTGCCAGGCTGGCTTTGAACCACAGTCCTCAGATCTCTGCCTACTGGGTAGTTAGGATTACAGGTGTGAGCCACCAGCACCTGGCTTGTTTTTTTTTGTTTGATTGTGGTGATAGAGATGTGTGGTGCCAGGGATTCAAATGCTGTGCCAATATGCTGTACCTAGCCCCAAGACAGGGTTATTGTGGGGTTTTTTTTTGTTGTTGTTGTTGTTTGGTCAGTTGTGGGGTTGAATTTAGGGCCTGGGTGCTGTTCCCAAGCTCTTTTGCTCAAGGTGAGTGCTGTACCATTTTGAGCCACAGCTCTGTTTCCAGTTTTCTGGTGGATAATTGGAAATAAGAGTCTCATGGACTCTCTTGCACGGGCTGGCTTTGAACCACAACCCTCAGATCTAAACCTCTTGAGTAGCTGGATTATAGGCATGAGCCATCAGTGCTTGTCTTGGGTTTTTGTCGTTGTTGTTGGTTGTTCGTTTGTTTTTAATGTAGCAGCGAGGGATGGTTTAGTAACAGAGAATATACTTAGTATGCTCAAGACCTTAGGTTCACTTTGGTTCCTGGCACTAAAAAGTAGACTTCAGTCTCTTTTTCTATTTTTTTAAATTAAACTAAATAAGGTGATATGAATGTTATGTGTCCCCAAACAGGGAGATATTCTGTGTGGATGATACAAGGCAGGCTTGTATGTAAACAAGAGCCATCCTACAAAAGGACAGAAAACCTAGACTTGCATTCATCAGCATCAAAGACAGCAGCCATGGCTCTTCACTTGACTCATAAACCCAGGATCAGGGAGCTGAGAATTAAATAACCATGAGAATCCTTTTTTTTTTTTTTATTCGGTCATGGGGCTTGAACTCTGGACTTGGGCGCTGTCCTTGCGCTCTTCAGCTCAAGGCGAGTGCTCTACCACTTGAGCCACAGCACCACTTCTGGTTTTCTAGTGATTTTTTGGAGATAAGAGTTTCATGGACTTTCCTGTCCAGGCTGGCTTTGAACCACGATCCTCAGATCTCAGCCTGCTGAGTAGCTAGGAATACAGGCGTGAGCCACCGGTGCCCAGCTGCTTCTTTTTTTTTGCCAGTCCTGGGGTTTTAACTCAGGGCCAGGGCACTGTACCTGAGCTTCTTTTGCTCAAGGCTAGCACTCTACCATTTGAGCCACAGTGCCACTTCTGGCTTTTCTGTTTATGTGGTACTGAGGAATTGAACCCAAGGATTCATGCATGCTAGACAAGCACTCTACCACTAAGCCACATTCCCAGTGCCACCATGAGATTCTTTTACCCTGGTACCTTGGAGCCAGTTGTGTTGACAAGCGGAATCCTGGCTTGAGTGTAAAGTCTGACTGACCCTTTGCTTGATGGCCCTTATGGTGTAGTCACAGTTGGGTTATGGTACCTACATCTTTACTTCCCCGGCTGAGCAGATGCAGGAGCTGGAGCAGAGGCTGCTGGAGGCGGAGCAGAGAGCAGAAAATGCAGAGACCCAGGTAACAGGGTCTGGGGGTGGGAGATTGACAAGAGAGTATGGGGAGGAGGGGGAGATGATCTGGTCTTCTGAGACCAGGAAATCCATCAGTTGCATGTAAGACCTGAACAGGTAGATGTACAAAGAGCTTTCTGTGGCAATGTAGGCATGTTTGGGTAGGCTTGGTTTAACGAGGGGGTGCATTAGTCCAAATGGGCCATGCTATGCTACAGGAACAAATTAGGTCTGCAGTCCCATTTGATTCCATGCATGGTTCTCATCCATTGAAGGGTTCAACTGTGAGTGTGCTTCCATAGCCATTCACCGGTCCATGATAAATAAGACTCTCCTATCTTATAGTTAGAACCTATAGGACACATAGTAGCCTTGAGCAAAAGAGCTTAGGGACAATGCCCAGGCATCAAGTTCAAGCCACACAACTGACAAAAAATAAAATAACAAATAAATATTAAATTGCCAGGCTCTGGTGGCTAATGCCTATACATCCTAGCTACTCGGAATGCTGAGATCTGAGGATCACAGTTCAAAAGCCAGCCTGGGCAGGAAAATCTGTGACATTTTATCTGTAATTAACCACCAGAAAACCAAAAGTGGTGCTATGGCTCAAAATGGTAGAGTCCTAGCCTTGATGATGATATTAATGTTAGAAATGGCTCAGAATGTTGGGGTGTCATATGGAATAAGGAAACAGTCCTGGAAGGAACTCAGCAAGGCAAAACTTACTTCAGAAGAGTGTGCCATCTGCCAAAAATCTGGCAAGCGAGCACACAGAGCAGACAGGCTGCTCCCTTTTTATCCCTAATACAACAGGCCCCACCCTTCTGCTTGGATTGGCTGAGCTCAGGTTCACAATCTGCTCATGATTGGCAAGTTTGAAGAAGCTGGAAAAACTGATAAACAGTTTTACTTTTTGTTTTTTTGTCGGTTGTGGGGCGTCAACTCTGGGCATGGGCGCTGTCCCTCAGCTTTTCAGCTGTAGACCAGCGCTCTACCACTTGAACCTCAGCCCTACTTCCCGCTTTTTCTGCTTATGTGGTGCTGAGGAATCAAACCGAGGGCCTCATGCATGCAAGGCAAGCACTGTACCACTGAACCACCTTCCCAGCACGGGATAACAGTTTCAAGTAATTATAAAGTGACTGTTAAAAGACTTTGAGATAAAAGTAATAGTACTTAAGCAATCTCAAAACAAAACTCACACCCTGTACTACTGGAACAATCTGAGGTGTGTCTTAATTCCTCTTCAAAACATACTCACACCCTCTTCTGCTTTGTTGAACAATTCAAGTGAGTCTTAATTTCTCTTCCCTTTGGACCAACCAGTTTAGACAAAACCTTAGCATTTCAAAAATTCCTCCTCTTAAAGCATTTCCTCTTTCTTAGAATAATCAACAAGAGCTAAGCCAGCAGGCCAAAGCAGGAATTTTTAATATTAATTAAAATAATGATGAATAGTTAACGTATTATCATTATTATTTGGCGATACTGAGGTATGAACTTGAGTCTTGTGCTTCCCAGCCAAGTGCACTTGAGCTGTGCCTCCATCCCAGAATAGCCAAAAGGAGTTTTTGTGTTTTCAGTTCCTTTTGCCCAGATAAATGCTTCCTTCAATTGGCCCAGATTGCCCTGAACAAGTGCTCTGCCTGGAAGTCATAGTGTGTTACATCTGGGGGCAGCCCCACCTCTGTTACTGACCATTGCATACACCTTATGAGTGATGTGAGACCTCTCTGTCCTTTTCAGGTGGGTATGATGGAAGAGAAGGTAAAATTGTCCAATCTAAAGAACGTGGACTCCACAGGCAGCCTGCACTGCAAGTACCAAGAATTGCTGAAAGCCATGCAAAGCAAAGATGAGCTCATCTGCCAGCTGGAGGCACAGCTGGAGAAACAGGTAAGGGTTAATGTGTACAATAGAGCACCAATCCCCTTTCAGCATTGGCGCCAGTTGACCTCACTTCTCAAGCCCCTCTGCTTGAGCCCTGAAGTGGTGGGGAGCTCACTACCATGACCCTGTTCTTTCACATGGGGTCTTGATTAGTGAGAAGCCTTTTTTCCCTCACATCTGTTCACTAGAAGCCAGACAAGGGCTATAGAGGTAAAGCACCTTGGAGACAGGCTGATCTGGGTCTGAATCCTACCTTTATCTCTTCTCTCACTGGGCACATTGTTTAAATGGCTGGTTATCATTTTACACAGCTATACAATAGAGGTTATAAAAATCTATTGATTGGGGGGATTTAATAGATAATCTGCATATAATATTAGACACATGGTTGGTGCTTTTTTTTGCGTCCGGTCATGGGGTCTAAACTCTGGGCCTGAGCGCTGTCCCTCAGCACTTCAGCTCAAGGCTAGCACTCTACCACTTGAGCCACAGCGCCACTTCCAGCTTTTGTATTTTTTCTGCTTATGTGGTGCTGAGGAATCGAACCCAGGGCCTTATGCATGCAAGGCAAGCGCTCTACCACTGAGCCACCTTCCCAGCCCATAGTTGGTGCTTTGTAAGGAGAGCCTTTCTTTCTCTGTGCTGGCCTTGTGCCCCATCAGCATGTGCTGTTTGATACTTGACTGTAGTGTGACTGGAGCTGCAAGGCTGGAAGATCTTCCTTGGTCAGCTGGTTGGCCGAAGTTTCTCAATGAACCTGAACAAGCAGAAATGAATGTTGCCCCCTTCTGGTATTTGAGACTTACCCTCCTGAGTGTGTCAGAGCCTAGGAAAACCCACTGTCCAGCATTGGAATTTGCTCCTAAGAGAACTTTGGGAACATCCTCAGCCTGAGAGTCTAGCTGCTTTTGTAGAGCTGGCTGATGCCTGGATGTTAGGCGTACACTGTTCACTCATTTCTTCTTCAGAATAGCTCAGCAAAGAGGTTTCCTTTTTCCCCATTATAGAGGCACACAGAGGAAATAGCTTTCCTGACTAATGTCTCACAGCAAATAAGCATCATGTATAGGATCAAAGCCCATTTCATTTTATCCCAGGCCACTCGGATGGGGTAGCATGCTAGGCAGTTGCTGTACCATGGACCTATACCTCCAGCCCTTGCTTTATTTAGATATAAACCTACTAGGGCTGGGAAGGTGGCTCAGTGGTAGAGCGCTTGCCTTGCATGCATGAGGCTCTGGGTTCGATTCCTCAGAACCACATACGCAGGAAAAAAAAAGCCGGAAGTGGCACTGTGGCTCAAATGGTAGAGTGCTAGCCTTGAGCTGAATTGCTGAGGGACAGTGTCCAGGCCCAGAGTTCAAGCCCCACAACCAACAAAAAATAAATTAAAATTAAATTAAAAAAAAAAATGTTGGGCCGGCACCAGTGGCTCACGCCTATAATCCTAGCTACTCAGGAGGCTGAGATCTGAGGATCACGGTTCAAAGCCATCCAGGCAGGAAAGTCTATGAGACTCTTTATCTCCAATGAACCACCAGAAAACCAGAAGTGGTGCTGTGGCTCAAGTGGGAGAGCGCTAGCCTTGAGCTGAAGAGCTGAGGGACAGCGCCCAGGCCCAGAGTTCAAGCCCCATGACCAACAACAACAACAAAAAATGTTGGTGGCTATCAACCTATCCTTTCCCCCAAAGACTTTGCCATTTTGTACAAGGGGACTCACTCTCCACATTCTTGACAGTTTGGGATAATATCAAACTTGGAAGTTGTGTTAGGCTGTTAGAGGGAAATGGTGTCTTGTTTTTATCAGTCTGTTTAAAATTAGGATTGAGGTTGTTCAGCTTTTCATGGGCTTCTTTTCCTGTTGATTGTTGATTCATATCCTTTGCATATGTTCAGCAGTTGCTCATTTGAAATATCCCTTTGCATGTGTGTCATTTGTATTGTAAATTCTTCTTCAGTTGGAGGGTAGAGAACATTTCTGGGGTTTGAACTCTCAAGACCTGTGCTGACTAGGCAAGTGCCTTATCACTTGAATCACACGCCAGCCTTGTTTTTTTTTTTTTTTTGTTTGTCGGTCGTGGGGCTTGGGCTTGGGAGCTCTTCAGCTCAAGCTGGGGCTCTACTACTTGAGCCACGGTGGCTCTCGGTTTTCTGAGTGGTTAATTGGAGATAAGAATCTCATAGACTTTCTTTTTTGGGGGGGGTCCGGTCATGGGGCCTGAACTCTGGGCCTGGGTGCTGTCCCTTAGCTCTTCAGCTCAAGGCTAGCGCTTACCGCTTGAGCCACAGTGCCACTTCCGGCTTTTTTATTTTTTGCTTATGTGGTGCTGAGGAATCGAACCCAGGGACTCAGGCATGCAAGGCAAGCTCTCTACCACTGAGCTACCTTCCCAGCCCCTCTCATAGACTTTCTTTCCTGGGCTGGCTTTGAGTGGTGATCCTCAGGTCTCAGCATCCAGAGTAGCTAGGATTACAGGTGTGAGCTACCGGACCAACTGTTTTGTTTTTGTGTTTTTTTGAAACAGGTTTTTCCTTTGTTGCCCAGACTGGTCTTGGGCTTCAGTGGTCCTCCCCTCTCAGCCTCCTGTGTGACTGGAACTACAAACATACACCACTATGTCCAGCTTTTGATTTTGTTTAATGAATTCTTTTGTGTGTATGCATCATACAGTAATTGATAGTGATGATTAATTACCTTTTCCTTCATGTTTTGCGGGGGATCTGTATTATGCCCTTTTCACTTTTAACTGTGTTTTGTTGGTTTCTTTTAAGGTTTTTTGTTTTGTTTTGATTTTTTTCTTGACACAGAAGCTGGCTTGTCTTGAACTCTGCAATTCCTGCCTTGGTCTCTTGAGTGCTAGGATTACAGATGTGTGCACCATCCACCTGGCAATAATAGTTTTAGAAAATATTATTTAATTCACAGCAAGATTTCCCCCCATTGGGACTCCCTCATTCAGTCATTTGATGTTCCTTTTTCTGGCTTCCCACCTCTGATTCTTCACTCTTCTAGTGACTGCTATAATTAACTAAAGGCCTTCTCTTTCTTGCAGAAGCAGATGAGGGCTGAGGAAGCAAAAATTGTTCAAGAAAAAGCTGCAAAGATCAAGGAGTGGGTGACCCTGAAGTTAGCAGAAGTGAGTTGAAGCCTTATTCTGGGGGGTGCTGCCCTGGGGTATTGCTTGGGTTGCCCCGATCCCCAGAATTTCCTGTCTTCTTCCATACCAGGGACTTGCTGGGCTTCACTTTGTTAATATTTGTTCTTCACTGATACCCCTGGCTTTACTTTCTCATTCCTTTTGACTTGGTCAGTTTCCTTGAGTTCCAGACTAACTTTGTGCTGGATTTGAGTAAAATATACATGAAATCTGCCATTGCAACTGTAGCTATTTTTCCTGCCTGGGCTGGCTTTGAACAACAGTCCTCAAATTTAGGCTTCAGAGTAGCTAGGATCACAGGCATGAGCCACTAGCAGCAGCCAGCCTGCAAATTAATATATATATTGCCAGTTTGGAGCTTGAATTCAGGGCCTAGGCACTGAACTTGAGCTTCTCTTGAGCTTCTCAAGGCTAGCACTCTACCACTTGAGCCATGGCGCCACTTGTGCCTTTTTCTATTTATGTCATACTAAGGAATGGAACCCAGGGCAAGTGTACAGTTCTGTCATTGCTGCTAAATGCACACATAGTGTTATACAACTATCACACTACTATTTTCATAGCTTTTCATCATCCCGGAAGAAACTGTCTGTCCAATGCTGACTCAGTCCATCCCTCATGCCAGTTCCAGGTAGCCCCTGTTCCCCCTTTCCTCTCTGTCTATGTACTTTTGTACTTCATCACTGCTAAGCCAGCCTCTTTCTAAACTAAAAGTAAGAGAGTCGTAGTTTGGGAAAGGTTAAACATGCAGCTCTTACTCTGGCCTTCTGAGTTCACTCCCGCAGGAGAGTATTGGCTCATTTTGCCTCCCCTTCTTTAAATATATATCTCAGGTCACTTGCTAAACTATATGTTTCTAGGGATAGAACTAACCATTTACCTCCATTTTCACTTGCTAGGCAGGTTCTCTATCACTTGAGCCACATCCCACCTCTTTTCTTTTTTTTTTTTGGTCGGTCGTGGGCCTTGAACTCTGGGCCTGGGCGCTGTCCCTCAGCTCTTCAGCTCAAGGCGAGCGCTCTACCACTTGAGCTACAGCACCACTTCCTTTCCTCCATTTTCCCACAGCTATATTGGGCCCTTGTTAAAAGGTGCTCAGTAAAAGTGTGCTAGGGTAGCTGGCCACCAGGACTCACGCCTGTTATCCTAGTTCCTCAGGAGGCTGAGACTTGAGGATCATGGTTCAAAGCCAGCCTGGGCAGTAAAGTCGCTGAGACTCTCATCTGTAATTATCTGTTATCTTTATCAGATATCTATTAGAAAGTGGAGCTGTGGGTCAAGTGGTAGAGCACTAGCCTGGAGCACAAGAGCTCAGGGACAGTGCTCAGGCCCTGAGTACACACACACACACACACACACACACACACACACACACACACACACACACACACACACACACGCACACACGCACACACGCACACACGCACACACGCACACACGCACACACGCACACATACACACGTGTACGAGTTTAGTTTAAACCCGTACAGCTGCTATAAAGATGGGTCTCATGGTCATTATGTGAAGAGAAAGAAGCCAGACTTAGAGAAGCACACTTTGTGTAATTCTACTTACCTAGTTCAAAAGTGGGCACAATTAAATTAATATGTAACAATGTACAACAGAGAGATAAGACCCAGGAAACAAGGAAGTGAGTGGCAAACTGTGCTTATGAAGGGTGAGTCAGCCCGTTACCTGGAGCACTGGCGGGCTGTTATCTAGCCTGGGTGGTGGTCGTGGGAGTAGTCATTTCAGAGTCATTTGTTAAGCCATTTGTTGATGTGTGGGATGCAGTTTTCTGTATACATGTTATGTTTCACAATTTTCCAAAAAAAAGATTGAAAGTAAAGATGTATCCAAATCATGGGGCATTCACACACACACATACCTTTTTTTTTTTTTAATAACTAAGCTGGGTGCCAACGGCTGTAGCTACTCAGGAGGCTGAGATCTGAGGATCACAGTTCAAAGCCAGCCCGGGCAGAAAAGGCTGTGAAACTCTTATCTCCAATAAACCACCACAAAGCCGGAAGTGGTGTTATGGCTGGAGTGGTAGAACGCTCTCCTTAAGCTGAAGAGCTGAGGGACAGTGCTCAGGTCCAGAGTTCAAGACCCATGACGGACGACCAAAAACAAACAAAAAACCACTAGAAAAATAAGTGCAGGACGCCAAATAAGATTCTATGCCAGCCAGTGCCAGCTAGAACGAGGAAGACAAGGTCAGGACTTCTCAGGAAGGTTAGCACTAGGATTGATGAGATGAGGGTACCAAGTATTATTTGTTAAACACTTTTGGGTTTTAGGCTTGTTTTGAGTTAGGTATCTGAACATCCAGGTACAGGTTACTTTAAACTGACTATTTGTTGACGTTTCTTTGTTTTGTTTTGTTTTGTATTCTTACGCCAATCCTGAGTCTTGAAATCACAGCTCAGGCATCGTCCCTGAACTTTTTTGCTCAAAGCTAGCACTCTACTACTTGAGCCACAGCTCCACTTCCAGCTGCTGTTGCTGCTGCTGCTGCTTCTTTCTTCTTCTTTCTTCTGGTTAATTGGAGATAAGAGTCCTGTGGGCGTGGATTTTCCTGCTCAGGCTGTCTTTGAACCATGATCCTCAGATCCCAGTCTCCTGAGTAGCTAGGATTACAGGTGTGAGCTTCTGGTGTTGCTGGTGTCCATTTGTCTTTCCTCCCCCCCTTCCCCGCCTCTCTTTTTGTTGTTGTTGTTGTTGGTTGTGGGGCCTGAACTCTGGGCCTGGGCGCTGTCCCTCAGCTCTTCAGCTCAAGGCTAGCACAGCACCACTTCCAGCTTTTTCTGCTTATGTGGTGCTAAGGAATCAATCCAGGGCCTCATGCAAGTGAGGCAAACAGTCTACCACTGAGCCACCTTCCCAGCTCAGAGCTATTGGTTTTTGAAGTTGGAGATCAGATCCAGACTCCGGCAGGCTAGTCAAGCATTCTGCCACTGAGCTCCATCCTCAGCCCCTTAAATCTTCATTTTCTTTTTGTCCAGCTGGAGATGGAGAATCAGCACCTCAAGAGCTGTAATCAGCACCTTCTAGAACAGGTGGGAGCACTTCAGCATGATCTAGAAGGTAAGCAGGCCACATATAGGTGTACACAACAGGAATGGGGCTCAGTGGAGTCGCATGTCAGTATGCCTGTGTTTTCCTCCATCACAGCTCTTCGGATGGCACCTACGGGGAAGCTGCTAGGGGCCTCTGAAGGAACTGCAGAGCAGGATTCTGTCCCTTCAGGGCCAGGAGACCAGCCTGTGGGGCAGGACATTGTTCCCCAGGCCCAGGATTTAAAGGCAACTGTGTCTGCACCTTCTTCGGGAGCCTTGCAGAACAAGGACCCTTTGTCTGAAACCAGCAGCCCTGAGGATTCTAGCTCCAGTGTGGCCCAACCTGGGGAAGTAGTAGAAAGCAAGACCCTTCAACTCCATCTGGGAAGAGAGGCACCTCCCAGCCAGCTGTGCATGAAGCCTAGCACCCCCAGACATGGCTCAGCCTTCTGGAGGGAGGTTCTGGTCACTGCTCAAGGAGGGACACTTCCTGGCACCAAGAACTCGGCCAGGGAAGGAGGCCCTGGCAGTAGCCTGACACTGCCAAAGGTTCGGGCTCCTAGCACCCCTCGAGACAGTATCCAGGTGGCTAAAAGGCACCATAGCCAGCCCCAGGTGGGCCCTGGACATTTTGACCAGGTGGTGAGCATCGAGATCGGGGCCCTGTCAGCTCTCCACCCTTCTAGGCTTTCCAAGCTGGAGGCCCAAGCTCGGCTCCAGGAAGAACCAGAGAAGATGGAGATGGAGGAACCGACTTCAGCAGGGAAGGAGAAAGAAAGAGAGAGCCTGAAGACCACTGGAGCTGAGCTACAAGAAGGGGGGCTGAGGAACAAACCACCCACACCCCCCCTGCATAGGTTTCCATCCTGGGTAAGAGGTGACCAGGGGCCGGGCTGGAAGCAGAACCAAAGATGGGCACACGGTCCCTTGCTAGTATCCATGAGCTGAGCCTAGGTGGGCCTGGCAGCCTGGCTTTGGGTCTTAGAGGCCTGTACCATAGAGCCTGCCCAGCCCACCTGTTGGTGAGGAGCAGAGCCAGAATCTGAAGGTGTAAATGGTGGCTGACTGAAACGTCTAAGTGCTTACCACCCACCAAGCTGAGTGCCTTGTGACATTTTCTTGTATGTGTAGGGGTTAAGAACACAGGTTCCAGGATCATGTCACTGGGTTTAATTGTTAACTCTGTGACCCTGAGCAAGTAACTAAGCCTCTGTGCCTCAGTTTCCAAGTCTGTAAAATGAGGGTCCTAGTGACAGTTGGATTGTTAGGATGATTAAATAGGTTAGTGGCAAGTGGCAGATGCTACATAAGTGTTGGATATATATATTATATAATATATATTTACGTATAACATGATAAAGTGCTGTGAGGTCTGGGGGGACTGCTTCATAGTGAATGACATGGGAGGGAGGAGATGGGGTGCAGATGGAAGCACATGGACGGTATGTGAGCACAGTGCTTGCTGCAAGACGGGTCCAGTCAGTCTCCGCACTGTTCTCTACTTATGGCCTGATATTTTCTGTGATTAAAAAAAAAAAGCTAGAATAAAAATGAGGTGGATGTCAACATCCCACAGCAGTGAGGATGATGGGAGGGTTCAAAGGGCTTCACACAGAGCCCACCACGTCTCAAAGACCCTCAGCTGTGCTGCCTGTACAGTTTAGCCTCTGGCCCAAGGTTCTGTAGTAGTTAGTGGCTTCTAGTTCAGGTCCTGCTGCTTTGAAGCCCAGCTCTAGTGTCCTTGCTTATGGGGTTATGGCCACTGCAGATCGCATCTCTCTCTCTCTCTCTCTCTCCCTCCCCCTCCCTACCTCCCTTTTCCTCTTTCCCTCCCTTCCCCACCCCTCCCCATCCTGGGCTTTGAACTCAGGGCTCAGGGCTCAAGGCTCAAGGCTCGTGCTCTACTTAAGCCACAGCTTTACTTCTGGCTTTTTGATGACTAATTGGAGATAAGAGTCTCAGGGACTTTTTCCAAGCTGGCTTTGAACCTTGATCTTCAGATCTCAGCCTCCTGAGTACCTTGGATTATAGGCATGAGCCACCGGCACCCGGCTCAGATGGCATTCTCTTACTCAAGTCAGATTGAATGCTGCCATGCACCGATGCAGCACTGCTTCTGACAGCAGAGGGACTGGGGCATCCCATGATGGGATTACCTCCCCACAGCACGGCTTGGGAGACTCCTGACTTTAGTAGCATCTTCCAGGGGCTCCCTTTGAAGTGTTGGTTCAGGGAGGCTCCAAGCCTAGGCTCATGAGCTACACCCATGGGGGGAACTTCTGGGTCTCTATGAGACTGTCTGTAAGGCTAGAGACCGAGGAGTGTAGAGCTGGGCTGGAAGGAAGATTAGACAGGAAACAGCGGTGCCCCTGACACCAGCCGTCCTTCAGGCAATGGCTCCTTGCTGTGTTCTTCACATGCTCTGGAGCTGCAAGGCCAAGGTGGAGTGAGGGCGCATTTGGATAAGAGTTGTAGCAGAAAGGGGCTCAGCATCTGTTTGCCAAAAAGTGAACTTTTTATCTGCCACTTTGCCCCAGTAAAGCCATCCACTGTGGTAACAGTGCGGCTCTGGCATTTTGTTTGTGTATCTTTTTTTTTTTTTGATCGGTCGTGGGGCTTGAACTCTGGGCTTGGGCGCTGTCCCTGCGCTCTTCAGCTCAAGGCGAGCGCTCTACTGTTTGAGCCACAGAGCCACTTCCAGGTTTCTAGTGGTTTATTGGAGATAAGAGTCTCACGGACTTTCCTGCCCGGGCTGGCTTTGAACCGTGATCCCCAGATCTCAGCCTCCTGAGTAGATAGGATTACAGGAGTGAGCCACTGGTGCCCGGCTATTGTTTGTGTTTCTTAAGTTGTATGTGGGCAGGAGAGTTGAGAAGCTACACAGATAAAATGCTTCCGCCAGGCATGCTGTTAGGGGGTACCTGTAGTCCCAGGCCCTCAGGAGGCTGAGGGGGGAGGATCACTTGGTCTAGTAATGCTACAGGCAACATAATGAGACATTGTCTCAAAGGATAGGCCATGTGACACATAAGCTGTGCTCTGAAGATGGGGGTATGACGTCTTTCTACTGTCAGCTGGGTCCTAAGTACCCCAACAATCAGCCAGTGTGGTTTAAGGGGAATTTGTCTTTGTTTTCAACTCTGTAACCCCCCTCCTGAGGGAAATAAAGACACTGCTGCTCATCTAAAGGCCCCTGGGGAAGATTCACTCCTGTCTAACAGGAGCCTTGAGAAGGCAGTGGGCCAGAAAGGCCGGCCTGTAGCCATCAGGGGGAAAAAAACAAAGCCTGAGAAATCCATAGAAGGATATTTTTCAACCTGGGAAATGAGGGAGGCAGATATTCTGATTGGTACAGCCTTTCTCTTTATCCTTGAAACCACCTTGCGTGATAGACATTCATACCCTTTTGTCAAACAGTGCTATCTTTTGTTTAACCTCAGTCCTTCAGGCTTGGGTTTCATTCATTTCCTTCGTGGAGTTAGGAGCTTGGCCTTTGTTTAATTCCCTGACCGAGATGGGCAGAAATAATCTATTTTATGTGTACACTCCATGGATGGATCTGTCCTGCAGCAGCAGCAACAGCAGCCTCTACCCCCTGTCCCTGTCTCTGCCCTCTTGTCTTGCCCTCTATCTGGTGATCTCTGCCTCTTATTATTTATTTCCCCGGCTGTCTCAGTGCTATGAGCATCCCCTTGCTACGATCTCACCCCACTGCCTTCCATCCCTGTGTCCCAGCCTGGCTGACCCCCAGTTGCCTTCCTGGGCCAGCCTGGCTGACCTAGTCAGCCCTGTGACTCAGCAGTCACCTGAGTGGGCCTTTGTTTTCCCTGTTGGTTCAGTAGAGCAAACTGATCTGGAACAGTCTAGATGAAGCCTTTGGGTTGTTGGAGCAATGCTCCCGGGGATATGCTTGGGTCTGGCATTCTCTGCAGAAGCGTCTTTCACCTCTGGAGTTCTGGATTCCTCTCAGGCTTTGCAGGTTAGCTCCAAACCTTAACATTGATGTGACGTGGTTACCATAAAAAGACAACGTAGCCAGGCGCTGGTGGCTCAGGCCTGTAATCCTAGCTACTCAAGAGGCTAAGATCTTAGGATCGCGGTTCAAAGCCAGCCTAGGCAGGAAAGTCCATAAGACTCTTATCTCCAATTAACTACCAGAAAACTGGAATTGGCACTGTGGCTCAAGTGGTAGAGTACTAACTTTGGGTGCTGAGGGACAGCACCCAAACCAGAGTTCAAGCTCCATGACCGACCAAAAAATAAAAAATAAATGTAAACTGGGCACTGGTAGCTCACCCCTGTAATACTAGGTACTCTGGAGACTGAGATCTAAGGATCACAGTTTGAAGCCAGCCTGGGCTGAGAAGTTCATGAGACTCTTATCTCCCATAAACTACTCCAAAAAAGCCAGAAGTGGAGATGTAGCTCAGTGCTAGAGTGCTAGCCTTGAGCAAAAAGAAGCTCAGGGACCCTGAGTTCAAACCCCAAGACTGATACAGAGAAAAAAGACAGTGTATCCTGGTTTCCAAATAGCTTATAAAAGAAAACACACACCGGGCTACTCAGGAGGCTGAGATCTGAGGATCGTGGTTCAAAAGGGCAGGAAAGTACGTGAGACTGTTTATCTCCAATAAACCACTTAGAAAACCAGAAGTGGCTCTGTGGCTCAAATGAACTCTGTGGCTCACCTTGAACTGAAGAGCTGAGGGACAGCACCCAGGCCCAGAGTTCAAGCCCCACAACAGCCACCACACCCGCCTCCCTCCCCCCCCCCCCCAAAAAAAAAAAAGAACACACACCTCACCTGTGGCTCTGACTTCATTCTCACCACTCCCAACTTCAGGATTAAGACCTGGGGTCTAAAATGGGAAAGATTTGGAAAAAAACAGATTACTGTCTTATCAACTTCCTTTGTCCCAAGGGAAAGAGTGAAGGCTACTGAGAGACTGAGTATCTGCTGGGTGTGGATTAAGCTCCAGGTGTTAATGTTTACTTTAGTTAATTCATTTGATTCCACAGCAGCCTACTGAAAGGTCAGTTTTATTGTAGCACTGAGAAAAATCAGACTTAGAAATGAAGGATCTTGCCTGAAGTCTGCTAGCCAGTAACTGGTCCATCTTGGGTGTGGGTACAGCCCTGGGTCATGACTTTCTGGCACCTTTCATTCCAGGAGAGCCGGATCTACGCAGTGGCCACATCAGGCATGCAGCTGTCAGATGTGTCTCCTCGAAGTAATGCCACCTGCTGTGGTGAGTCCAAGGGCCCGACCACCCGTGGTGGGCCTGGCACTGGTTCCCTTCCCCAGCGCGAGCAGTTCAGGCAAAATAATACAGCCAGAGCTGCCTTCAAGCTGCCTTAGTTTTCTAGGAATATTAAGGAAGTAGTGCACAGCCAGCTCATCTTTCTTGCTTAGGGGAAGTATTGGGATTATAGCCAGTCACAGAGCGGAGAAGGACCTTGCCAAGCAAGGTCATGTGTGCGTCCCTTCTGCAGGGCCAGGGCTGTGCGTGAGAGCAGCCCCAAGTGCTCCGATTCACACGAACCTTGCTCAGTGGCCAAGAGCCTTCTGCTCACTTTGGCAACACATATACTAAAACTGAAACAACACAGAAGATGAGCATGGCCCCTGTGCATGATGGATATACAAATTCATGAAGCATTGCCTATTAAAAAAAAAAAGCCAGGTGACATGGTTCACGCCTGTAATCCTAGCTACTCAGGATGCTGAGATCTGAAGATTGTGGTTTGAAGCCAATCTGGGCAGAAAAGTCCTTGTGAGACTCTTATTTCCAATAAACCACTAAAAAAAAAGAAAAACCAGAAGTGGAGTTGTGGCTCAAAGCAAAAGAGCTCAAGGACAGCTCCTAGGCCCTGAGGTCAAGCCCCATGACCAATAAAGAAAAAGTCACCAAGCCAGGTACCAGTGCTCACACCTGTAATCCTAGCTACTCAGAAGACTGAGATCTTAGGATCACAGTTCAAAGCCAGCACAGGCAGGAAAGTCCATGAGACTCTCATCTCCAATAAACCACTCAGAAAACTGGAAGTGGTGCTGTGGCTCAAGTGGTAAGAGTGCTCACCTTGAGCTGAAGAGCTGAGGGACAGTGCCAGGCCCAGAGTTCAAGCCCCACAACTGACGAAAATAAAGTCAGCAGCCAGCCACAGTATCCCTACGGTGGCAGGAGCCTGTGGGCACCTCAGCAAGAGGGGCACAGTGTAAGCCTCGTAGCGGAGAAAGTAGTTAAAGGGCAAGGTTCTGTTGCAGTGGGCCCTTTACTGCATGGGTTTCATGGTCACACACAGTCAAGGGGACCCAGAAAGGAGGGAGGAAGGAGGAAGACTTTTCATCTGCCTCCTGACACCCTCTCCTGAGGGGGGTAAGCCACCCTCTCCTTCCCCCGCAGCTTCCAGTCCTCCTGCCCTGGCTTCTCCTGGATCCTTCTCTGGCCTTGTCTACAAGAATGTCACTGTGCCTGTCTACACAGCACTGAAAGGGGTAAGAAACTGCCATGCCAAGAGGGAATGTCCCCATCAGAAAAGGCCCCTGACCCAGCACACGGTGACCAGGGTGGAGGTAGGATGGTAAGGCATCTGGCACAGCGATCCTGATCCAGGAGCTCAGTCTACCACGTGTCATTCTGTTGATCATTTCTAGCTTTTATTGCAAATATCCTGCACATACAAAAAGCTACTCAAGAGGCTCAGATCTGAGGATTGCAGTTCAAAGTCAACCCAGGCAGAAAAGTCTAACCACTAACAAGCCAGAAGTGGAGCTGTAGCTCAAGTGGTGGAGCACTAGCCTTGAGCAAAAGAGCTCAGGGACAGCGCTCAGTCCCTGAGTTCAAGCCCCAGGACCAGCAAAGGAAAAAAAAAAATTGAGTCAGAATGAATATGGGTGAAACCAAATTAAACCTATACCTATTCTACCTCAACTCCCCATCCTTTCTTTTATCTTGATACCCCCAGGTTCTATGGTGGAGCTCCTTTCTTCAGAATTGTTTACTTATGTTTAAACACATACAACCTCCCCCCCCCCCCCCCCCCCCGCCACCACACACATATAACTGGCATTGCTATTTTGTGGGGAGAAGTCGGGGTTTGAATTCCTTAAGCCCTCTTGCTATCCAGGCAGGCACTCTACCACTTGAACTACACTCTGGCCCATTGTATTTTTTTTTTTCAGTTAAAATAGAATTGCAACATAATGTTTTCTTTTTTGGGGTTGGGGGGGTGGGGGTCCGGTTGAGGGGCCTGAAATTGGGCCTGGACACTATCCCTCAGCTCTTCAGCTCAAGGCTAGTGCTCTACCACTTGAGCCACAGCACCACTTCTGGCTTTTTTCTTTTTGCTTGTGTGGCGCTGAGGAATTGAACCCAGGGCCTCATACATGCAAGGCAAGTGCTCTACCACTGAGCCACCTTCCCAGCCCCCAACATAATGTTTTCATACTTTTTTCTTTCTGTTAGTTTCTGTCGTTACAGTGCTAAAGATCAAACCTAGGGCCTAAACTACACATCTAATCTTCTTCCTGGTTTTTACAACATAATAGTAAAGCTTGAAAGAACTTTTCTTTTTTTTTGGGGGGGGAGGGGATCTGGTTGTGGGGCCTGAACTCTGGGCCTGGATACTGTCCCTCAGCTCAAGACTAGCGCTCTACCACTTGAGCCACGGCGCCACTTCTGGCTTTTTTCTTTTTGCTTATGTGGTGCTGAGGAATCTAACCCAGGGCCTCAGGCATTCAAGGCAAGCACTCTACCACTGAGCCACCTTCCCAGCCCCTGAAAGGACTTTTCATAGAAGAAAAAATCAGAAATGAAATTTCCTTTTACATTGCTTTTTCCTAATTCTTAACTCCAAGAGCAATTGCCATAATGGTTGTTATTTATTCCATAAGACCCTCCGATGCATCTACAGATGCATTTACAAAATATGCATTTGTGCTAGTTTCTCTTTGTTCTCATTCTTCCACTCCTCTCTCTCTTCCTTTTTCCCTCCTTTCCTCTCTCCCTCCCCTTCCTCCTTCCCTCTGTTTCCTTCTTACTCTCACACGCGTGTAGATACATGCACATGCATACAAAGGGACCATGTACGCATCATTCTGTATGTTGTCAGGTTTTCCGTGCTTCCTCTTTCTCCTCCTCCTCTTCCTCCTCCTCCTCACTTGACTGTATAGTACCCAAGTGTAAGTTAGCTACCTTAAACATTCCTTTACTGATTTATAATAGTTTATGTCCCTTTCTTAGAAATAAATGTTGCGTTGGGCATCATTGTGCGTGTACTTGTTCTAGGGGTGGAATTCTGGGTGAGTTATGTAGCTACTGCCGAACTCTGGGCCTGGGCGCTGTCCCTCAGCTCTTCAGCTCAAGGCTAGCACTCTACCACTTGAGCCACAGTGCCACTTCTGGCTTTTTTTTTTTTTTCTTTTTGCTTATGTGGTGCTAAGGAATTGAACCCAGGGCTTCAGGCATGCCAAGGCAGGCGCTCTACCACTGAGCCACCTTCCCAGCCCCTGCCAAATTACTTTTTAAAAGCACTTGGTAGGTTGGGAATGTAGTTTCAGTAGACCCTATCTATTTTTTTCTCCAGCAATATACAAAATGCGTACATACATACAGTCACACTGCACTTGGTCCCTTTCCCTCTCACAGTACTCTCGCCAGCTTTTGTATAATTAGTCTTTTTATATGTTTACAAGTTGCAATTTTTTTTTTTTTTTTGTCAGTTGTAGGGCTTGAACTTGGGGCCCAGATGGTGTCCCTAAACCCTTACTCAAGGCTAGCGCTCCACCACTTTGAGCCACAGCTCCACACTTCCAGCTTTCTGGTAGTTAATTGGAAATAAGAGTCTCATGGACTTTTCCTGTCGGGCTGGATTCTAACCATGCTCCTCAGATCTCAGCCTGCTGAGTAGCCAGGATTACAGCTCTGAGCCACCAGCACCTGGCTGTCCCCACACATGTGAAAAGCTCCTGTCTCACACTTGGTCCCTGTTAGGGCTGACTGGTCCTCTAGAGTGGAGGGAGTTAAGGGTCACAGCTGGCCAGGGTTCAGTCTAGATGGGAGAGCTCATTGAGCACTACAGAAGATTGTGGCAGAGAGGGGTGCCCAAGGTACTGATGGATGGTTGCGTAGGGACGTACACTGTTTAAGACAGGCTGTGTGGGCCACACCCTGGCAATTTGGAGTCAGGGATAAACGGTTGGGTGGCAGAGCATTTGTTTTGCAGCCTGAGCTGCAGTAGGGAGGGTTCTTGTCATGCAGAGAGCCACGCAGATCAGCAGTGTACCCTTTGTGGATGAGTCCTCTGGGTCTGACGATGACTGCAGCTCTCAGGCGAGTTTCCGGATGTCTGTCCCCTGCTCTGAGTGCAAGAAGACCAGCGGACTCGGCAGCCCTCGGGCCATCAAAAGAGGTACAGGGAAGGGGAGCAGAATTGTGGACGTTTGTAGATGGGGCCCCTGTATGATCCCCAGCAGTGCCAGATTTAGGGATCCTGGGTGGATGATGAAGGCCCTACATTACTCTCTGGCTGTGGCAGTCGAGAAGTGAAAAAGGGCCTGGGCCTTGATTCCTTCTCCTGTGGCCAGGGGTCTCCATGTCGTCACTGAGCTCCGAGGGTGACTATGCCATTCCCCCTGATGCCTGCTCCCTGGACAGTGACTACTCAGAGCCCGAGCACAAACTGCAGCGCACCTCATCGTACTCCACCGATGGGCTGGGCCTAGGCACGGTGAGCAAGGGACACGGTTCCATGCCTGGGCAGGATGCAGTGGGTACAGGGGAAGCAGAGCTGCGGCAGAGGCTACCTGGGGAGGGGATGATGTGGCCAGAGAGGCTAAATGATGGCTGGGGTATCCCAGCTGTCAGAGAGAGGAAAGAGGAAGCCCATGAGGGGTTTGCCTCCGCTGCCTTGTGTATCGCCACACTGACCTTTGGCTGCTGCTTACAGGGAACACATACAGTTGAGCTTTATGGTGCCAAGCGCTGTCTTTGGTGCACTTCTGTACTTCTGGGTCTTCTTGGGATTATTGCCCTGTGTACTTTTTCTTTTGTCGGTTGTAGAGTTTGAACTCTGGGCTTGGGTGCTGTGCCTGAGCTTTTCAGCTCAAGGCTAGTGCTCTACTACTTAAGCCACAGCACCACTTCCGGTTTTCTGGGGCTTAATTAGAGATAAGAGTCTCAAGAACTTTCCTGCCCAGGCTGGCATTTGAACCACGATCCTCAGATCTCAGCTTCCTGAGTAGCTAGGATTACAGACGGGAGTCACTAGCACCCACCTGAAGGTGGTCTTTGAAGAAGCTGACCTTTCTGTCAAAGACCAACCAAATTCTGCGTCTTCCCTGATGCTCTCACTAGCCAATCTGTCCCCTTGTAGCTCTTGATCTGCCACCCACTCATGGTGGGTGAGGTGCTATTTTCCCCAGCCATTTTGTGATGATTTCCCCTTTCTATTCCCTCTTCTATTCCCTTCATCCTTCAGGAGTCACTGGAGAAGTCAGGCTACCTGCTGAAAATGGGGAGCCGGGTAAAGACGTGGAAGAGGCGCTGGTTTGTCCTGAGACAGGGACAGATTCTGTACTACAAGTCCCCGGTGAGACACGCCCTTCCCAGTCTGTCTTCATGAAGGCCCAGCACTGCATGCAGCACTGCATGCCAGGGGCTAGGTTGGGGGAGAGAGGGGTAGTATGACAAGTGAGAGGCAGCCTCACTGGATTGGAGGCTCTGAGCCACCCAGGATTTGACTGCGTCCTCACATTTCATGGACTCACAGTGAAATAAGGCAGTGGCAGTCAGGGCAGCTCTAGGCATTTTTTCTTCCTTCAGAAGCCATTTTCTTCTTCTGCTTGCTCATATTAAAAAAAGATTGTTCCCATGGGCTGGGAAGGTGGCTCAGTGGTAGAGTGCTTGCCTTGCAAGCCGGAGGCCCTGGGTTCGATTCCTCAGCACCACATAAGCAAAAAGCCGGAAGTGGCGCTGTGGCTTGAGTGGTAGAGTGCTAGCCTTGAGCTGAAGAGCTGAGGGACAGCGCCCAGGCCCAGAGTTGAAGCCCCACGACTGGACCAAAAAAAAAAAAAGATTGTTCCCAGGCAGTCCTCACCTTATCTATATTGTTCTAACAGACAACTTCATGGCCTCCTCCCCTCTCTGAAATTAAGGAGTCTTACCTGTTGAATCTGATTTGACAGAGCTGAAGAACTGCCTTGTTCTATCTATCTATCTATCTGTCTGTCTGTCTATCTATCTTACCTGTTGGTAAGATAGATAGAGCTGAAGAACTGTCACGTTCTATCTATCTATCTGTCTGTCTGTCTATCTATCTTACCTGTTAGATCTGCTTTGACAGAGCTGAAGAACTGTCTCTATCTATGTATCTATCTGTCTGTCTGTCTGTCTATCTATCTATCTATCTATCTATCTATCTATCTATCTATCTATCTATCTATCTCTATCTCTCAGTCTTACCTGTTGGATCTGCTTTGACAGAGCTGGAGAACTGTCACTATCTATCTATCTACCTTCTATCCATCCTATCCATGTATCTATCCATCCATCTATCTAGCCATCTACATATCTACCATCTATCTAGCCATCCATCTATCCTATATATGCATCCATCCATCTAGTCATCCATCCATGTATCCTATTTATGCATCCATCTAGCTAGCTAGCTATCCATCTGTCCATCCTTCCATCCATTTAGTGCCATACTAGAGCGAACTCAGCCTGGGCATTGGCACTTATTTTTTTTTGCTCAAGGCTAATGTTCTGCTATTTGAGCCACAGATCCACTTCCAGGCTTCTTGGAGGCTAATTGGAGATAAGGATCTCATCAACTTTTCTGCCCAAGCTGTCTCCAACTTCATGTTAAGGATTCCAGATCTGTATTCCTCCATGAGAAAAATGTCATCACCAATTAGTGGTGTCTACAGTAATACTGGAAAGTAATAACAGTGAAAAACTACTCTCAGGAGGGTGAGACTTTGAGAAGCCGCCACATCCAAGGCTTTCCTCCACGTTTCTTTCTTTACAGAGTGATGTCATCAAGAAACCTCAAGGTCAAGTGGATCTGAATTCCCATTGCCAGATCATTCGAGGGGAGGGTGCTCAGACTTTCCAGGTGAGTCTGCTCTTAGCTGTTAGATAGATAAGGTGCTGGTGTTTGGATATGACTATGGCTGGGACAAAGACGGGCCAAAAATGAATGTGCAGGAAAGGATGTGTGTGTGTGTGTGTCTGTGTCTGTGTCTGTGTCTGTGTGTGCACGCACGCATGGAAGAGAGGAGACTGAATGTGAAGGGAGGAACGAAGGAAGAAGTGATGGGAGGGAAGAGTGGGGTAGGAGGAAGGAAGGCCTAAGGACTGTAGGGATTTGTGGCACCTCTGAGCCTGATTGCTGCCTCTGGCCCCAATCCCTGACCCTGGACAGCTCATCTCTGAAAAGAAAATCTTCTACTTGACGGCGGATTCACCCAGCATGTTGGAAGAATGGATCCGGGTTCTCCAGAGCCTGTTGAAGGTTCAGGCCACTGGGCCTGCGGCCCTGCCACATCGGGGCACTAAGCCCACTGTGAAGGGCTGGCTGACCAAGGTACAGGGTAGAAGTGGGGACTGGGGCGGGGGTGGGGAGCCAACATGGGAGTGCTGAGGGCTAGTGGGCTAGCCCCTTTCTTCCAGGAACTTTCTCACACATGTCTGACCATGCAAGGTGATGATGGAGATTCCATAAGCACAGATCAGGACCCCAGTTCTCAAGGCAGAAGAGAAGCGAACGTTTTTTACCCACTTTATAGTCATTAGGAATCACTTCCACATCGAACCATCACCTCTCAGGATTAGCAGTAGAAAGAAGGGACCCAGGTGATGTGAGTCTCGCTGCCATTCAAATACAAGCAGTATTCCCCACCATCCAAATACATGTAGTAGCCCACAGACATTTTAGTTAGGGCTCTTCTGCTTGCAGAGTACAAAAAAGGGAAGTTAACAAGGAAATACATGTATGAGACCACACCCCATCAGGACCACAGTCAACTTGTGCTGTGCAGGCTCAGTGCTCACTGCCTCTGCTTCCTCCTTCATTCTGTTCACGACCTTCTTCTCTGCCTATGTGTGGTCTCCGTGCCCTCTTAATGGATAGTTGCTGAAGGACGTCACCTAGCCACAGCGCTGATGAACCTGGCAGCCTCCCAGAAACTGGCTCTGCCAGCTAGAAAGTTCTTCACATGTTCATATTCCCCGAGAGGCATGCAATTGTCCTCCTCTAGGAATATGAACAGATCACCACAGAGCCCAAAGGTTTTGGGGTACCATATTGCAGATACTGTAGCAGTCTGCGACAGGGGTTCTTCCATTGGGTAAGGAGTTTGAATGGCATCTCTACTAAGGACCTGAGTTTTGACTATCTCCCAGGGCTTCTCTTTGCCAGCCTCAGATTTATTTTGGGAAACTCCTGGTTCTAGTTCATTTCTTATCTTCCAGGTAAAGCATGGCCACTCTAAACTGGTCTGGTGTGCTCTGGTGGGGAAAACCTTCTACTATTACCGGAGCCACGAAGACAAGGTACTTCCTCAGTTTCCTCACTGCACCTTTCTGCTTCCCCCAAACCTTGTCACTGTGGCTCTGTGTCCTGATGACAGTCCCCAGCTCCACCTTCTCTTCTACTAGACCCCACAAGGTCAGTGAGCATGGCCTATGTGGTTTGTGGGTGCTTCTCAAGAGGGCTTCACTCTGCTCCTGGTCTGGCCACAATGCTATAGCCTCCACCTCCTCATCCAGTGTTCTGGCTACATCCATGACCCCCAGCCCTATAAAGCCTCCCCTAACCCCTTAGCTGTCCCATTCATGGAAGGCTCATGTCCACAGCGACCCCTGGGCCAGCTGCCGGTGCGGGATGCTCGCATAGAGGAAGTAGATCGATCTTGCGACTCAGACGAGGACTATGAGGCTGGAGGAACAGGGCGGTTGCTCTCTTCCCACTGCACCCTGGTGATCCACCCCCCAGAGCACAGCCCCACCTACCTCCTCATAGGCACCAAGCAGGAAAAGGTAAGGGAAGACACTGGGTCTCCTTGGCCAGGCCTGGACCAATGTTCTGGAATTCCCTTCTCTCTTTCCTCTGAGCTTCCCTAACAAATATATTCCCCTCTTGGACACTAGCTAATGTTCACTGAATGAAGTATTTCCTTCTGTTGAATTCAGTCCTGGGTGACTAGTATCCCTGCACTGGGGCCATGAAATAAAGCCAAAAACTTGGAAAATTGGGTTCATATTGATCCCTAATCTTACCCCTTAGATTCTGTGGCATTGACTTATGCCAATCAAACTAGCTGAACCATGGGCTAGGAATGTGGCTTAGTGGTAGAATTCTTGCCTAGCATGTATGAAGCCCTGAATTCAATTCCTCATAAACAAAAGGCTGGAAGTGGCATTGTAGCTCAAGTGGTAGAGTGCTAACCTTAAACAAAAGAAGCTCACAGACAGTGCCCAGGCCCCGAGTACAAGCCCCAGGACTGGCAAAAAAAAAGGAAAGAAAAGAAAGAAAGAAAAACTTAGCTGAAACTTACCCTTTTTGGTTTTGAGTTAGTTTCTTGCTAGCTTGTAATTCACGATTTTTCTGCCTCAGCTTCTGGAATGCTGGGATTACAGGGTATGTACCACCACACCTACCTTAAGATTTAGACTTTAGCCTGGCTCACGCCTATAATCCTAGCTACTCAGGAGTCAGATCTGAGGTCACGCTTCAAAGCCCTCCCGGGAAAGAAAGTCCATGAGACTCTTCAGTTAACCACCAGAAAACTGGAAGTGGCACTGTGGCTTAAGTGGCAGAGTGCTAGCCTTGAGCTGAAGAGCTCAGGGACAGTGTCCAGGCCGAGTTCGAGCCCCACAACTGACAAAAAAAACAAAAGATTGTAGACTTTTTTTTTTTCAGTGCTGTGATAGAATCCAGGCCCACGAACATGCTATGCAGGCACACTACCACCGAGCTACACCCCAGTCCCAATCCCTACTCTTGCCTCTACCTTTCCCCACGCCCACACGTGACGGCTTTTCCTTCTCTAGGAAACATGGCTGTACCACCTCACAGTGGCTGCAGGTGGCAGCAGTGCCAAGGTGGGCACTGTCTATGAGCAGCTCATTGGGAAACTGATGGATGATGAGGGAAACCCAGGTAAGGCCATCGCTGCATGACTTTCAGGAGGAAACTCTACTATACCAGAAGCTGTGAAACACATCTAAGCTGCAAAGGGGGGCTCCCATCCCACTCTGGGCCCCTCTATCCTGGCCACGACCTTGAGGGGATCGCGGTTATCGGGGGAGTCTGTCTGGGAAACAGATTTTTCCCACAACCTGGGTAAATGTTTTACTCTGTTCAACTAGCAGCTTTTCTGGCTGGGCAGAGGACTAGGGGGAAAAGGTATGTGGTTAATCTATAGTTAAGAGTTTGTTAATCAATAAAGGAGGCCAAAGTTTGCAAAGGCTAACCTAAGCCTGTGGTGTTTTTGTTTTTTGTTTTTTGTTTTCGGGGGGGGGGGGGGTGTCATTTATTTTGCTGCTGATTCTCAGGGTTCTCAGGAACTAACTACAGTCACATACCACTCTCAACACTTTATTACTGCTCCAAGGCTTCCCTGTTTCAGGCAGGCTGATGTTTATATTCCTCCAACCAGACCTGGCACCGTAAGGGAAGGCCTTATGCACACACCCATAACCTTGCTCACTTACCCGCTGTTGCAGCTCCATTGTAGAGCAGTGGCTGCCTTCCTGCGCAGTCACACCCGTGACTGCACAACCAGATACCCCACAGTTTCCTCAGGGGTTAAACACTGCCCCTCCCACAAATCAAAGTTGGGATGTGGGGGGTGGGAAGTGAGCTCCTCCTTCCTAATAACTCCCACTGCTCTGTGTAGATTCCCCGCTCTGGAGGCACCCCATGCTGTGCTATAGCAGAGATGGGCTCTGTACCTCCCTCACAACCCTGCCCTCTGAGGCCCTGCAGACGGAAGCCCTCAAGCTCTTCAAGGTAAAGTGGGAGAGGGTCCCAGGCCCACCCACTGGTGGCGCACACACCATGTGCCTAGGCTTTGTCTGGAGCAGTTTTAGCCTACCATGGTGATGCATGGGTGAAAGAGACCTAACTAGGGAGAAGCACACAGGGCTGGCTCAGGGAGCAAGGGAGAAGAGCCACGGGGTCCCCACAACTTCCTTGTGGCAGAAATGTAAAATCCCTGCAGATAGGGAGAGGCTGTCACTTGCCCTGGGAAATGCCAGAGAAAACTCTTCCCTGAGTTGCCCTCCTCCTAAAATAATAGTAGGAAAGGCCAGGTTTATATTGCTTCTGCATCCCCAGAGACTCTGGTCTATTTTAGAATCTACTTTGTGCTTAAAAAAATTTTGTTTCTGGGCTGGGAAGGTGGCTCAGTGGTAGAGTGCTTGCCTTGCATGCATGAGGCCCTGGGTTCGATTCCTCAGCACGACATAAGCAAAAAGAAAAAAGCCGGAAGTGGCGCTGTGGCTCAAGTGGTAGAGCGCTAGCCTTGAGCTGAAGAGCTGAGGGGCAGCGCCCAGGCCCAGAGTTCAGCCCCATGACTGGATCCAAAAAAAAAAATTTTTTTTTCTATTTTTTTTTTTTTTTTTTTAAGATGAACTTTTGGGCTGGGAAGGTGGCTCAGTGGTAGAGCGCTTGCCTTGCATTGCATGAGGCCCTGGGTTCGATTCCTTAGCACCACATAAGCAGAAAAAGTCAGAAATGGTGCTGTGGCTCAAGTGGTAGAGCAGTAGCCTTGAGCTGAAGAGCTGAGGGACAGCGTCCAGGTCCAGAGTTCAAGCCCCATGACTGACAAAAAAAAAAAAAAAAAAAACTTTCTAGAGACACGTGCCTTAGAAACCCAGCACTCATGAGACTGAAGCAAGAGGATTGCAGTACCAGGCCAATCAGGGCTAAAAATAAGACCTTGTCTAAAAAGAAAAAAAAATGGTTGTTCATAGGCAAGCTTATGTCTTGCTTATGTAACAGAACATTTAAAGAGGAGTAAAACCCAGTGCAGCTGGTTTATATCTGTAATCCTAGCTACTATGTAGGCTAAGATCTAGAGGATAGTAAGTTTAAGGTCAGTCCAAACAGAAAAGCTCACTAGATTCCATATCCAAATAATCAGCAAGAAGTAGAGCTGGAGGTATGCTCACGTGGTCACAGTACCTATCAAGTATGTGCAAGTCCCTGAGTTCAAATGCCTGTACCTAGGTTCAAAACTCCAGTATGGCCTAAAGTGGTGAGGAGGACAAAACTGAAAGAGTCTATCCCCAAGTAACCCCTTCTAGTCTTACAAGTAGCCACAGTGCTTCCTCTTAGAAAGGACTGCCCATCAGTGAACAGCTTTGAGGCTCCACTTGGGGCCAAAGACCCCATTCCCATTCCACATCAGGGTAATCGCCTAGGGCTGTGTGCCTGTGTCCACTGTGGTTTTCCTCCCAGTCCTGCCAGCTCTTCATCAACGTGCCTGTGGAAGCTGCCTCCGTGGACTACCACGTGTCACTGGCCCAGACAGCGCTACAGGTCTGCCTGGTTCACGCTGAGCTGCAGAGCGAGATCTACTGCCAGCTCATGAAGCAGATCAGCTGCCGCCCACCTCAGAAGTACTCTCTCATGCAGGTGGGCATTCCCTGGAGACAGGACAGCGACACAAAACCATTGGCAAGGGCTGCCCAGGAGGTAGGGAAGGTAGAAGAAGGTGCCTAAGCAGGTTATATTCTGAGCCAAGCCAGCAGGCAGTCTCCATACTCCAAGCTGCCTTCGTTCAGCCGCAGCCTACCTGCCCCTGCACAGTCAGGCTGATGGTTATTTCTGGACACAGCGTGAGCAAGGTGCCATCTTGGGTGGGGGCTCTGGTGTGCTCAGAGCTGCAGGGGCAGGGGTACAGACCCAGCACTTAGGACACGCTGCCTGTGTCCCCTGGCAGTGCTGGCAGCTTCTGGCGCTGTGTGCCCCACTCTTCCTGCCTCAGCATCATTTCCTCTGGTATGTCAAACAGCAGCTCCAACGCCACGCAGATCCCAGGTGAGTGAACGCGTTTCCTCTGCCCCTCTGGTGCTGCTGATTGCGGCATGATTTAAAGAGGGGTTGGATTGAGTAGACTGCTCCTCCCCTCTGAGATGGCTCAGGGTGGGAGACTTCATTACACACTGTGTGCATGTATGAGCAAGTAGAGATCTGCACATGTTTCGGCTTCTGTGTACCCTAAGCCTTGGGTGTTTTGTGAGGGCTCTAATGTGAAGGGATATTACCCCCAAATTGTCCCCCAATGTTCCTTCTCTGCAGCCCTATCTTCCTGAAAGGCATTTTGTGCCAGCAGTCTGCTGCAATTGGTCATCAATGGTGATGAATGAACACTCAAGGCTTTTTCCTACAACCACACAGCTAGTTTCAGGCCCCACTAAGTCTGGGTGCACATCCCAGACACTAAAGAGGTGGGGAGGAGCAGAGTCCCTGGGGTTTCCTTCTTCCTTCCTGTCTTCTTAGAAACGAAACTGGCCAGTATGCCACCTACTGCCAGCGGGCAGTGGAGCGGACGCTGCAGACCGGGGAGCGGGAGGCCAGGCCATCGCGCATGGAGGTGGTGTCCATCCTGCTGCGGAACCCCTTCCACCACTCGTTGCCCTTCAGCATCCCTGTGCACTTTGCTAACGGGACTTACCAAGTAAGGAGGCGGGGAGTGTCCCCTGCCCAAGTCTTCTGTCATTGTCCATAGGAGAACACCTTTAGTCAGGTAACAGTTGCTTACAGGAGGTTTGGTTATTTTGTTAGTGGTGCTGGGGCTTGAACTCAGGGCCTCACACCTGCTAGACAGGTGTGAACTTAGGTTCATACCCCTAGCTCTTTTTGCTTATTTTTAGCATACAACCTTAGATTCTATTTATTTTTTGCTGGTCTTGGGGCTTGAACTCAGGGCCTTGAGATTTTTTTTGCTCAAAGCTAGTACTCTACCACTTGAACTCCAGCTCCATTTCTGGCTTTTTGGTGGTTAATTGGAAATAAGACTCTCAAGAACTTCTTGCCTGGGCTGACTTTGAACCTCAGTTCTCAGATGTCAGCCCCCTGAGAAGCTACGGTTACAGTAATGAGCACCTGGCTATTTTGTTTTTCTTTTTTGCCCAGGCCTACCCTCAGACCTATGCCTCTCATGTAGCTGACATTACAGGCATGTACCACCACACTAGGCCAGCTTTCAGATTTTTAATAGGAAAATCAGCAAAAAGGATGAGCCTAGGATTGGGGTAGTAGGTAGTATAATTGTGTAGGGAGAAGGAAACGTGAGTCCTAAAAATGTTTTGCTGTTTGATGCCTTGGAAGTGAGTCTTTTGAACCCAGTGCATGAACAAGGGAGCTTGAAACACTAAGGAAGTGGAACAAGGCAGAGCCCCCAGATGATTGACAAGCCTCTGTCTGGTTCCAGTAACAGCTGGCAGGCTCAGATTCCTTAGAACTGGCCCTGGCATGTCAGTGTAGAAGCCCAGTGTCGTCTTTCTCTCGTTTGTATTCACCTTGCATCTTTCTACCTGCTCTACTGAGACCCCTCCCCGATCCCTAGTGAGTTCCCCAAGAAGTTTGCTCCAGGTCAGATCATCTCTTTCCCACCAGGTGGTTGGTTTTGATGGCTCTTCTACAGTTGATGAGTTCCTCCAGCGGCTCAACCAGGAGACAGGCATGAGGAGGTCATCCCACTCTGGCTTTGCCCTCTTCACAGACGATCCTTCCGGCAGGGACCTGGAACACTACCTGCAGGGGAGTGTCAAGGTGACAGCCTGCCTGCTTGGCTGCCTCCTGGCTGAGGGATATAGGTGGTAGGGGCAAAGCCCATCTGGCAGGTACCTGTCTGTTCAGCAGCCGCATTGGCACTAAGCCCAGGCAGGATACTTACCAGGCCATCCTAAAATGTATGCACAAGCAGAGCAAAGCTGCATGTGATCTCCCCAGCCCTGCTTCCTTGCAGTTTGCAGCATTCAATAGAGCTTCTTCCCAGTTCAGTACAGGGACAGGGAGGCCCCACTGAGCCTGCCACCAGTTTCATCTTCCCATTCATAGGTGGACAGCTACAGCCTAAACCCATGGTGCCATGCGCGCCAGCACTCCACTTTTCACTCCATCCGCAAGGGCCTGTGCTCTGCTTATAGGCCCACCCATGGTTTAGGAGGGAGGCCCTCATAGTACCTATGTAAGTGAAGGCCCTGACATATATTGTGGTCTGGGTTAGTGCGACAGGGGTTAAGCGTCTGGGAATGTGCTCCATTTGATAGACACATAGGCTCTAGTATCTGCTTTCTTTACTGCACCAAGACAAAGGCTTCTAGTCTTTCACCATTGTTTAGGAAAACTGTACTGTATGTCTTGTAAATGTCTAGGCATCTGTCAGGCTTTGTTACACAGTAGGCCTCTGGGTATATGTATTGAAAGGAGAAATGTAGCTGGTAGAATTGAACCAGTGATATGAGGCCTTAGATTTTCATTGGGGCCTTCCTGTCCCCCGGGGCAGCTACCTTTTCTCTTCCTCCCAGGGCATTCCCTGCTTTCCAGCTCACTACATTCAGGGCATTGCCTACCATCTGTGGGGGAGCGAGTGGTAGTCATCTTGAGACCCAGGTGTGTGAGGCCCTGCAAGGCAGTCTTCCAATAGGAGAAACCACAATCACCACCATCCAAGTCCAGCTTGCCTCTGCCTTACTCCCCTCCGGAGAGGCTTTCCTTACTTTCTCCTTTTCTTCTTCAAGATCTGCGATGCCATCTCTAAGTGGGAACAGGCCCTGAAGGAGCTACACCCTGGAAAGTCTGAGGGTGGGACACGCGTGGTGAAGCTGATGTACAAGAACAGGTCTAGTGTGCTTCAGGGGTGGGGCAAAAATGAGGGTTTGTCTGGGTGCCATCTCACTGCCCCCCTATCTGAATGGCAGAGGGGCTCATCAATGCCACTCTGAATAGGGGCCATCAGCTGGGGTCCTGGCTGGCCCTGCTTGACCTCTCCTGACCTTCTGTTGAGACACTGGGCAAGTTAGGCTTCCTGTCTAGCCTCCTAGCATCCACTGTGTGTACAAGTGTGTATAGACACTTGCCAAGAAAACACACAAGCCTCATGGAGGGCTGCATGTTATCATAAGAATACGATTTTTGAGTGTGCAAGGCTAAGGAATAAATACCTCTTATGCACCCATTTTAGAAATATACAAGTAGACACACTTTTTTTTTTGGTCCGTCATGGGGTTTGAACTCGGGGCCTGGGTGCTGACCTGGAATTCTTCAGCTCAAGGCGAGTACTCTACCACTTGAGCCACAGCACCACTTCCAGTTTTCTGAGTGGTTTATTGGAGATTAAAGTCTCATGGAGTTTTTTGCCCGGGCTGGCTTTGAAAAACTAAGATCCTCAGATCTCACCCTTCTGAGTAGCTAGGATTACAGGCATGAGCCACCAGTGTCCAGCTTAGACACACTTTTTTTTTTTTTTTTTGGTCGGTCGTGGGGCTTGAACTCTGGGGTTGGGCACTATCCCTTAGCTCTTCACCTCAAGGCAAACGCTCTATCGCTTAAGCCACAGTGCCACTTCTGGCTTTCTAGTGGTTTATTGGAGATAAAGAGTCTCACAGACTTTGCTGCTCAGGCTGGCTTTGAACCGTGATCCTCAGATCTCAGCCTCCTGAGTAGCTAGGATTACAGGCGTGAGCCACTGGCGCCTGGCTTAGACACGTGTTGCTATGGACATGAGATCCGTATGATGTGCAACTGCTATGTGTCACACTTGGTCACAAGCTTCTAGGGTGATAGAAAATAGGTTTGCAAATGGTATAAAAAACTAGTTTCTTTAGAAATTAAGATAGCTATCCATCAAAAACCTATCGCTGTCTGGAATCCCAGCTGAGACAGCTTATTCTTGCTCTCTTCCTAAAGGCTGTACTTTCGGAGTCAAATCAAAGGGGAAACAGAAAGAGAGAGGCTGCTGCTTGCTTCTCAAACCAATGGAGAGATTGTAGCAGGGAGATTTCCAGTGAACAAGGAACTGGCTCTAGAGATGGCTGCCCTGATGGCCCAGGTAAGGTTGTGTCTGTGCAGGAAGTGGGAGGGTCAGGATGACCTCGTGGGACTCCAGTTAGAACTACTCCTCCTTTGGCCTGAAACAGAAGTTCTTCATATCCTCTGTCCTCAGGAGAGGGTGTCCTTACTGTTATACAGCGTCCCTGTTATACAGAGAGCAACTGCTTCCTCACACTGCAGAACTCCTCACCCACTGCAGATATAGGCTGTGTGCAGAATATCAGACTGAGAATCCAGATCTGGGTTTGAGTTCTTTTTTCTAACATGAGGTCTTAACCAAGTTACTTCACTTGACTGTGCTGTATCTAGTTTTCTTTGTACTGAAAACTGCTTCCCTGCCTGCCTCCAGAAGGTTGTAATAAGAAGGATACTTTGATAACGTTTATTCCTTAACTTGTGTGATAAAACTTAAGAACCATCCAACGTTTTAAGCAGAGTTAGGAGGAATACATAATCAGACTTCGACTTGCCTTGGCCATCTTGCCAGAGGTATTTGGGATACCTCCATGATTCCCGTAAGAGTCTGGATCTACCTGCTGGAGAGGAAAAATAGTAATTGTGGATCTTCATAATTATAATCATTAGCATGAATACTCTATAGTAGGCCCTGTGTGAAGTATTTCATATATCTTTTCCCATGGAGCCTTCACTCTAGCTTAGATGAGGAAAACTGAAGCTCAGAATTTAAATAACTTGACCAGAAAAGAAGCTGCTAAATGGCAAAGCTGGGGTCAAGCCAGGTGTCTGACTACAAATGCCAGGCTGTTGTCTTGGACCTGTGGCCTCTTCCATCCTGTAGCCTCTGTTTTTGGATTGGTTTTTTGTTTTTTTTTTGTCGGTTGTGGGGCTTTAACTCTGGGCCTGGGCGCTGTCCCTCAGCTCTTCAGCTCAAGGCGAGCGCTCTACCACTTGAGCTACAGCGCCACTTCCAGTTTTCTGGTGGTTTATTGGAGATAGGAGTCTCACGGTCTCTCCTGCCCGGGCTGGCTTTGAACCGCGATCCTCAGATCTCAGCCTCCTGAGTAGCTAGGATTACAGGCGTGAGCCACCAGCGCCCAGCTTGTTTTTGGATTGGAAGCTAGAAGTTCCACTGATTTCCTTCATCTGCCACACTGTCTTTAGATAAGGATTTGTCTTCATCTGCAAATAGAAGTTGGTCTAAACCTTCTAATACTGTAAGACCCTAAGATTCTTTCTCTGATGTCTATGAAACTAGGGATAAGGGCTGGGAAGGTGGCTCAGTGGTAGAGGGCTTGCCTTGCATGCATGAGGCCCTGGGTTCGATTCCTCAGCACCACATAAACAGAAAAGGCCAGAAGTGGCGCTGTGGCTCAAGTGGTAGAGCACTAGCCTTGAGCTGAAAAGCTGAGGGGCAGTGCCCAGGCCCAGAGTTCATAATTGACAAAAAAGAAAAGAAAAAAGAAACTATGGATAAAGATGTGCTCTGTTGTTGTTTTTTTTTTTTAAAGAAAGTAACTGTTTGATTCGCCTCCCCAACTGTACCCACCAGTTCCATCAACCCCCAGACTCATGACTTCTCATGTGCTTCTACCACAGGTAGAATATGGGGACTTTGAGAAGCCTATCCTGCCAGGTGCCGGGGGCACACCTCCTGCCAAGGTTCAGCATCTCCTCTCCCAGGTCCTAGACAGGTTCTACCCAAGGCGCTACAGACTTGGGGCTCCCCCTGAACAGCTGAGGTAGGTAGGCTGCAATGTCTGGGTGGAATCTTCATGGGGAAGCCTCAGAGATGTCATGGAAACATGTTGGCACTTCACTGGCATCATTTCTCTCCATCTGCCCGGCCAGGCACCTGGCAGATATGCTGACCACAAAGTGGGCAGCACTGCAAGGCTGCTCCTCTCCTGAGTGCATCCGCATCTACCTGACTGTGGCCCGGAAATGGCCTTTCTTTGGTGCTAAGCTCTTTGCTGCTCAGGTGAGTGCCAGTGGAAGGAGCCTTCAGAATGCCCTAAATTTTCCCTCTCCAGCTGGTCACATGCACACTACCAACCACCAGGGGTCGCCATCTCTCCATTCATTTCTGGCCTACTCCAGATTTCTATGGTCCAGAACAGAGTTGTAATTCATTAATTATCTTCATGTTTTCTTTTTATTGACTTGTTAGTGCTATTCCTGAAAAGAGATGATCAGCTTACTCACACATGGGGATTCAGACTTGAAATAATACCCTTCCAACAGTGCTTTTTTTTAAAAAACTTTGAAAGACTGAACAATATATAACTGAAACAAATTCGTTTCTGCTGACTTAGCATGCCACACAAACTACTCAGGCAAGAGTTAATTTCACCTCTGCATGAAGGCCAGGAGACCAATAGTCATTTCAGTTGGAACTTTTCCTCACAGGTGTTGGGTATGCATGAACTTTACATATAATCACAGAGATTATCCTGTGACCAGACATTATAATCACAGACATTAAGCTGGGTCATAGTTTCGTTTGCTGAAACTGCAGATCAGGCAATGGACATTCATTCATTCGTCTAACAAACAGTTGAGCTCCTACTATGTCTACTGCTAGTTTGAGGTTATAAGAAGTGAACAAACCAGACCCAGTACCCATCTGCATGTAACTTCCTATTGAATCAAGGAGGTGCTCATTAATCTTAACCATACATGTGTTATTTTTGTCATTTTTTTTTTTTAGGGGGTTGCTGGGGATCAAACTGGAGCCTTGAGTATGCTGAGCATATAGTGTTCCACTAAGCTATTCCCCAGCTCTAATATGCATGTTTTAAATAGTCACAAGTGCTATGAAGGGGCTGGGAAGGTGGCTCAGTGGTAGAGTGCTTGCCTCGCATGCATGAGGCCCTGGGTTGAATTCCTCAGCACCACACAAATGGAAAAGGCTGGAAGTGGCACTGTAGTCAAGTGAGAGAGTGCTAGCCTTGAACTGAAGAGCTGAGGGACAAAGCCCAGGCCTAGATTTCAAGCCCCAGGACCGTTAAAAAAAAAAAAAAAAGTGCTATGAAGAAAAAGTACAGGAGTGCTTACCAAGTAGAGCACCACTTGGTCCGGGAGTTTAGGAGAAGCTTCAGGAAAAGGACCTGTCTACTCTCTCCCTGCCAGTCATTTGGGTAGAGAAGAGGTCTTTTAGATTGCTGTTACAACCCTGGTTGTTATTCTTTTGTTTTGATCTCTCTGGCCCATTTCTGCAGCCTGCCCAGCTGTCTTCCAAGGAGAACACTCTGGTGTGGATTGCTGTGAATGAGGACAGTGTTAGCATCCTGGACCACCATACTATGGTATGGAAGGAGGAAGGAAGGCTCTCACCCTTCCTCCTCCTGAACGATATTGTGCTCTCTCCTCTCTAGACTCAAAGGCCTGAGCAAGGTGACCCTAGTTCCCATTTCCAATGAGGGCTGTCTTCTAGACCAGACACAGCTTACCAACATTTACAATGTGTATCCCCAAACTATGACTTCAGGGTTCTCCCATCATGGTTAAAGCCTCCTGTGCTTAGAAGAGACAGAAGTTACCCAGAGCTCACTCTCTCTTTCCACAGCAAGTGCACATCACTTACCCGTATTCTTCTGTGACTACCTTCGGCGGCTGCAGGGACGACTTCATGCTTGTGACTAGATCTGCACCTGACCAGAGCTCTGGAAAAGGCCACATTGAGAAGTTGATCTTTCGGATGGCTGCTCCCAAGGTGTGCCATTTTACTGTGTTCTGGTGTGATGTGATGAACTTAGAAGAAACTTGGCCCGAAATGAAACCTTTCTCTTTATATTATAATCATCCCAAATGGTTCAGGTGGCAAAGTAACTCGGTGTCACTGGGAGGAAACTAACTCTGGGACAGTCACTGCTGTTCCTTTTTTTCCTGGGAGGGTAGTATGCATTTCAGAGGGCCTCTAGATAAAAAGAGACCCGTTTGGGGCTGGGAAGGTGGCTCAGTGGTAGAGTGCTTGCCTTGCAAGCCTGAGGCCCTGGGTTCGATTCCTCAGCACCAAAAAAGATAAAAGCCGGAAGTGGCGCTGTGGCTCAAGTGGTAGAGCACTAGTCTTGAGCTGAAGAGCTGAGGGATAGCGCCCAGGCCCAGAGTTCAGACCCCACAACCGGACCCAAAAAAAAAAGAGAGACCCATTTCACTGAGACCCTGAATCCCCACAGTGATCTCCTTTGGACATTGCCTGCCAGGTGAGTATTTAAGAGAAAGAAGTTGAAGCCCAGAACAATCCTGTTCTCAATATAAGAGCCAGTGGGAAAGCCAGTGCTTGAACCTAAGCTAGCTCTTCTCTGACCTCCTTAGATTGCAGAAGCCACTTTCATCATGGCTAGTTATATGAATCACTGCTCTGCAACTGTGAATCCACCTGCCAACCCACCCACAGCCCACCAGCCATGGGAACTAGACGGACGCCAGTTCTTTGCTTCCGTTTCCTGCACTACTAAAGGGCCAACATTGCTATGAAGATTTCTCCAATCCATTTCTCCACCAGCACTGGTGTCTCTGGGATCGAGATGTATGTCCTGGATATACTACTACTGTAATGGATCTAACTTACCCCCCTGTGTAAAATGTATATTGTAGGGTCTGTGAAGCCTTTATCTCTAGGCACCTTATGTTTTAGAGCCCAATATATGAAACTCCAGACCCAGTGTAAAAACCACTAATTGTTTCACAAGAAATCTGACTCTGGACACTCCCTGCTTCTTGACTTAGACAAGACCCAGCACTGCTAAGAGTAGCAGGGTTGCATTTGGGGCTTTGGCACTGATATGCTCAGAGGAGCCCATATATAGATATATAAATTTTTATATGATCCTTATGTGAGGATTTATACTTGAAGTTTTCTGAATATCCCAACAGAAAAAGATCTGAAATTTCTAACTCACCTGAACTCTGACAAATGCCTTCAACTCACTAAAACTGGACTTCCTTTCCCAAGTGGGAAAGATACTGGCAAGACTGGAGGAAAAGGCCTACCCTTCCCCCTGTACGGGTGAGTGCCCCTTCTGGGAGCAGCGCTGATCTTTACAAGGGACATACTATCCCTGCCTAAGACTTATGCTCTTTGCTTACACTGGACTGTGAGCTGAACCTAGCACCACACTCTACTTGGACAAGGGAGGAATAGGTCTAGTCTGATGTCGCTCTGTCTCATCTTAATGAAGGCTGTGCTTACTACTGAAGGACGAGGTGGTCACTGTCTAGAAGATCAAGCAAATGCTCTCTGTCTTTTGCTCCTATGAGGCCACTGAAGACACAGAAATATAGGAGACCCTTGGAACTTCTGAAAAACTTCCACTGGGAATGAGGTTGGACATATGTATGTGATATCTGTTATAGTCTATGAAGTACAAAGTTAGTTTCATGCTTGCCTTCTGAAAACAATGTATCCTCATCCACTCAGACGTTCTGATTGAGGAGGGGTAGGAGGAAATGAACTTTGCTTCTACCCTCCTTTACAAAAAAAGAACAAAAGAGTGCAAACTCTGATTTTCCAACACTGAAAAACTTGAGTTTTTATTTCATAGCTCTAAGGCAGTCACCATTTATCAATACTATGATAAAAACGTAGGCTTAGCAGGAGAATTCAAGAACCAAGCCTTTAACTCCAATTGAGGGAGAGGAGAGAGAGGGGGAGCGAGAGCGAGAGAGAGAGAGAGAGAGCGAGCACGTGTGTGCATGTGCGTGTGTGTCTACAAAAACTACAAGGCTAGAACTAGTTTACTTGAGAGAGCGTGCGTGCGTGCGTGTGTGTGTATGTGTCTATAAAAACTACAAGGCTGGAACTAGTTTACCTGAAACTTCAGCTGCTATAAGCTTCCCCTTTAAAGCTGACAAGCATGGTGAAAGGGGTGTGAGCCAGCCTCTTAATGGAACTTGACTTTGCAAGGCAGTTGGGTTTTCCCATTTGTCCCCACTTCTCAATCTCCCAAGGAGAGGGGGTCTGGCAGAGACAATTCTACCTCAAACAAGTCACACATCAAAAGTACCATGGACTCCCATAAACCTCTGCAGGACTGATGGACAAGGCAGAGACTGCATAGCTCTGCTGATATTCTGAGTAAGGATAATATCTGCCAAGGCATTTTTTCTTAAAAATAAAGTTGTAAGAAATGAGTATGGATGGAGCCTGTTTACACTGAATTTGGGGTGAAGCTATTTCCCTCACCATCTCTGTTTTCCCTGACGCTTCAGGAATCTTCTCTTAGTTTAATAGTTTAATATAGAAGAAACTGCCTTAGGAACAAAGGTTTCTATAATTTAGTTTCTCTTTTAACAAGATGGTTCCATGTCTGGAAACAGAAACCAAATTTCTGTCTCAAATTTTATTTTATCCTCTTGGCAAAAGCAAAATTTTAAATAACAGAAAATGCTAAGTAGCAGAAGAGTATTAATGTACTTGATATCCATAACTGAAATGCTGTGATCATATTTGTCAATAAAAAGCACCTGTCTATGAACTAGATAATTGTGTGTGTTTAGGAAAATAAATAGTTTATTATAGAGTTTTCATCAGCCGGGCATCGGGCTTATACCTGTAATCCTGGCTACTTAGGAGGCTGAGATCTGAGGATCTCAGTTCAGAGCAGCCTGGGCAGCAAAGTCCGTGAGACTCTTATCTCTAATTAACCACTAGAAAACCGGAAGTGGCACTGTGCTCAAGTCGTAGAGTGCTAGCCTTGAGCTGAAAAGGTAGGAACAGCCCTCAGGCCCCAGTTCAAAACCCATGACTGACCAAAAAAAAAAAAAAAAAAAAAAGTTTTCATCTTATAAACTGGTATTTTGAATTGAAATCCCTGTACCACTACTTAAAAAAAAAAAAAAAAAAAGTTACTGGATACTAGTGGCTCACACCTGTAATCCTAGCTACTCAGGAAGCTAAGAATTGTGGTTAAAAGCCAGCTAGAGTAGGAAAGTCCATGAGACTTTTTTTTTTTTGGGGGGGTCAAGTCATGCGGCCTGAACTCTGGGCCTGGGCGCTGTCTCTCAGCTCTTCAGCTCAAGGCTAGCACTCTACCACTTGAGCCACAGTGCCACTTCCGGCTTTTTTCTTTTTCTTATGTGGTGCTGAGGAATCGAACCCAGGGCCTCAGGCATGCCAGGCAAGCACTCTACCACTGAGCCACCTTCCCAGTCCCTCCATGAGACTTTTATCTGCAATTAAGAACCAAAAAGCTGGGAGCAAAGCTGTGGCTCAAGTGGTAGAACAAAACAGCTCAGGGACAGCATGTAAACCCTGAGTTCAAGCCTAGGATGGCCACCAAAAAACAAAAGTCATTTTATGTTAACCCTGTACAGGAAGGAAGAAGCACATGGGCAGAGGCTAGTATTTTGTAGGCTGTTTATTCTGTCAACCCACACCTGGAAACTTTGACTTTTTTGCCTTTTTATACAGAGGTATATTCTATTATAGAGGGGAATCATAACTTTCTCATGAGGTTTGATACCAGTTTGTCACAAATTTCAACACAATGTTCAATGCGCTTACAAAATTTTACAAAGTGCTCTTTGCTGACACCACTTTTTTTTTTTTTTGGTCAGTAGTGGGGCTTGAACTCGGCCTGGGCTCTGTCCCTGAGCTTTTTGCTCGAGGTTAGCACTATACCACTTTGAGCCACAGCTCCATTTCCAGTCTTCTGGTGGTTAACTGGAGATGAGAGTCTCACAGACTTTCCTGCCCTCACTGGGCAAGAAATCACAGTCCTCGGATATCAGCTTCCTGAGTAGCTAGGATTATAGGTGTGAGCCACCAGTGCCCAGCTGTAACATCACTTTCGAAATGTCAAAATTCTCAAGTTCTCTCATTGGTTAGTAAAGTACACCTTTACTGGGGGAACACCAGAGTACACAGAAATACTTGCATCAAATTCCAGTCACCTGCTCTACAGCTCTGAGATCCAGTGCATGGTGGATCCTAGGCCCATCCACCTACTGCTTTACTGTAGAGAAAACAAACCAGCCACCATGGCTTGGGAGACATCCCCCATGGAAGACAGTACTGGCCTTCTGCATGCTGGGACTCATGGGCTTGTTGGTGTGGCTTTCTGGTGTGCCAGAATCTCCTGGCAGCTTCTGTACACTTCAATCAAGCAGTCCAGCCGGGGCTTGGCACTCTGAATTCCAAAAAGAAAAAATGCAGAATCAAGGTGAACGTAAGAGTGCTTAGTGGTGCTGCACCCACATGAAATCTCAATCTCTTGCCCACATCAAGGCATCCTACGTGGTACAAATTTCACTAGAGACAAAGCAGTCAAGCTAGAAAGCAACCTGCTAGAAGGACTCCCAACCAGGCCCAGCCTATAAATTACAGAAGATGGGAAATTAAAAGATAGCTTTTTGGGGCTGGGAATGTGGCTTAGGATGGCTTAGAGTGCTTGCCTAGCATGCACGAAGCCCTGGATTCGATTCCTGAGTACCACATAAACAGAAAAAGCTGGAAGTGGCACTGTGGCTCAAGTGGTATCATGCTAGCCTTGAGCAAAAGAAACTCAGGGACAGCACCCAGGCCCTGAGTTCAAGCCCCAGGACTGGCAAAAAAAAAAAAAAAAGATAGCTTTTTAGTCCTGAGAAGTGCCACAGGTTGTGGATAGACCTTAGAGACAGGGAGTTTAATATATAAGTTAAAAAAAAATTAACCAGCCAGGCGCTGGTGGCTCACGCCTGTAATCCTAGCTACTGAAGAGGCTGAGATCTGAGGATCGCGGTTCAAAGCTAGCCCGGGCAGGAGAGACCGTGAGACTCCTATCTCCAATAAACCACCGGAAAACCGGAAGTGGCGCTGTAGCTCAAGTGGTAGAGTGCTCGCCTTGAGCTGAAGAGCTGAGGGACAGCGCCCAGGCCCAGAGTTCAAGCCCCACAACCGACAAAAAAAAAAAAAAAAAAAATAACCAAAATTAAAAGAAACACCATAGAAATTATATCTGGAAAATACATTTAATAAAAATTTATTACTCAAAATATACAAAGAATTTTTACGAGTAACATAAAGATGATGGATAGCAAAACCCGAGGGAGTACTGACGGGTTACAATATAGATTACAAAGGAATATGAAAAGCTTATCAGTAAGATAAATACTAATTTCAAAACAAATAGCTAAATCCAGTATTAGTGAAGACTACAGAAAAACAAGAACAAATCCCAGAGATGCTAAAGCTGTCTAGGATCTACAGCCCAATCTGATACACTATTGAAATCTATAAGCTTTAACAAAGTATTTATGAACGTAATTCAAAATCCTAAATCTTTTTGAACAACTATCTATTTATGAACATAATTCAAAATCCTAAATCTTTTGTTTTGTTTTGTTTTGGGGGGGTCCGGTCGTGGGGCCTGAACTCTGGGCCTGGGCGCTGTCCCTCAGCTCTTCAGCTCAAGGCTAGCACTCTACCACTTGAGCCACAGCACCACTTCCGGCTTTTTTTTCTTTTTGCTTATGTGGTGCTGAGGAATCGAACCCAGGGCCTCATGCATGCAAGGCAAGTGCTCTACCACTGAGCTACCTTCCCAGCCCCAAAATCCTAAATTTTTTGTGAACAACTATCTACCTGGAAAGTATTTATATATTTACCTATTTAATTTATTTGCCAGTTGTAGGACTTGAACTCAGGGCCTTAGTTTCTTTTGTTCAAGGCTGGTGCTTTTAGCACTTAAGCCACAGCTCTACTTCTGGTTTCTTTGGGTAATTTATTGAAGATAAGTTTCATAGGCTTTCCTGACTGGGCTGACTTTGAATTGTGATCCTCAGATCTCAGCCTCCTGAGTAGCTAAGATTACATGTGTGATCCACCAGCACCTGGCTAAAACTAGTCTTATCTGTGACACTCTTATCTCCAACTGACCACCAGAAAACTGGAAGTGGTGCTGTGGCTCAAGGTTAGAGTACTCGCCTTGAACTGAAGCACTCAGGGACAGCACCCAGGCCCACAGTTCAAGCCCCACAACCAACAAAAAGAAAGAAATGTACTCATTACCTTACTTATTTAACTGAAACCCCTCTGTACATCTCCTTTACAATAAAAAAGAAATTTATAACCATGTGTTTACACAAATGTTTCTTCATAAGAGCTAAACAGAAAAATAACCTGGGCATGATTTAGAAAGTGACTACTTTTAGCCAGGCACAGGTGGCTCACGCATATAATCCTAACTACTCAGGAGGCTGAGATCTGAGGATCGAGGTTCAAAGCCAGCCCAGGCAGCAAAGTCCGTGAGACTCTTATCTTCAGTAGAAAACCGGAAGTGGGGCTATGGCTCAAGCAGTAGAGTGCTCACCTTGAGCTGAAGAGCTCAAGGACAGTGCCCAAGCCCAGAGTTCAAGCCCCATGACCAACCAAAAAAATAACTACTTTTTATATGGGTCAAACACAATGTGATTATAATAGTAAGTACAACAGTCTTGGTGTAAAAGATGCATGTTAAATAGTTTTAAATGCAAGACAAACAACATATAATACATGCCCAACTAACTATATTAGTGGACTGGCAGTTAAGACTAGCAGATGAACATGACTTGTAGACAGAAGTTGTTATATGTCTATTTTCTTCTCTGAAATTTGCATATATCACTAATACATTTGAAAGCCTATCTTTACTACAGAGAAACTTGTCTTAAAATAGCTAAAATCCTAATGCTCACAGAAATTGTCAGGTTACCTTCCAAGACTCTGACAAGGAGAAGTTTGCATTCCTACTGATCATAGAGGCAGTAGATATACACAAGAGGAAAAGGGAGAGATTTCCCTGGAGAAAGGAAAAAGTACTCTGTGCTCACCTGGAAGACAGGTACTACTTGGGATATTCTATGTGGTTCCACAGGATCCTTCAATAAAATGCAAAGGTAGTAAATCACCTTCTGCTGCAAAAAAAAATAAATAAAAAATAACAGATCTAAGTGAAACTTCTTTTGTTCTTTTTTCATTCTGTGTGTGTGTGAAAGAGAAAGAGAGAGAGAGATGGAGAGAGAGGGAGAGAGGGTCAGTACTGAGGCTGAACTCAAGGAGCTCAAGTTTCCACTCAGCTTGATTGCTAATGGCTGGTGCTCTACCACTTGAGCCATGTCTTCAGTCCAGCATATTTTGCTGGTTAACTGGAGGTAAGAGTCTCTCAGATTTGTTTGCTGGGGATGGCTCTGATCCTCACATCTTAGCCTCCTGAGTAGCTAGAATTATTAGGCATGAGCCACCAGCACAAGTTGTATTATTTTTTTCTTTTTTTTTTTGGTCAGTCATGGGGCTTGAACTCTGGGCCTGAATGCTGTCCCTCAGCTCTTCAGCTCAAGGCTAGCACTCTACCACTTGAGCCTCAGCACCACGTCTGGCCTTTTTTGTGTATGTGGTACTGAGGAATTAAACCCATGGCTTTATGCCTGCTAGGCAAGCACTGTACCACTAAGCCACATTCCCAGCCTAATACTTGATATTTTGAAGTAGAGGAGAAGTATAGTTAGTTGGGTTTTTTGCTTT